TCATGTGATTAATCAGATGGACAGTAGCTAATCGAATTAGGCAGCCAACCTGCTGCTCGCACGATTAAGCTTTACAACAACCAGGAAGGACACTTTTGGGAAAGAACTCTAAAGTGAAAGTTATTTTTAACCACCACTGACATAGCAGTCAAAAAAGGGCCTCTGATATGGAAAGGCCATTTGGGTCAGAGTTCATGAGTTCATTGCCTTGACCTAAGGTCAGATGGTATCTGAAAAACCTCACTACCTCAAATTACTGATAAACTGTGAAAGAAACATGCTGATTCACATTTTTAGGCTCAGTAGCGAGTTTGCACAATGTACATTGAGGTATCATGTTTATAGGACTAAGAACTCGTATCATGGTGAGACTATCTGGTAGTCTTAAAAAAAAAAAAAAATGTTTTATTACTTTTCTCCTCCGAAGGTCGAGCACCATGTCCATCCTGAAGATTCATGCCCGGGAGATCTTTGATTCCCGTGGCAACCCCACTGTGGAGGTGGACCTCTACACTGACAAAGGTAAATGTTGCTATTGGCCTAACATAATGTTAACAGTGGTCCTCTGTAGCTCAGTTTGTAGGGCATGGCTCTTGCAATGCCAGTATAGTGGGTTCGAGTCCCAGAACCACCTATAAGTAAAACATTCAATGCGTGCATACATTTTAAGTTGCTTTGGATAAAAGTGTCTGCTAAATGGCAAATAATATCTGAAAATAGTCTAAGCCTAGCTTACCCAGGTAACCACTAGCTTACAATGAACTCACAAGTAAAAGCATTTACCTTCTGATATTAAAAGCAGGTTAGGGCCTTCGTTACCTTTATTGGACAGGACAAACCTGTTTTCACGATTTCTGGTATATCATCAAAATATCTAAATCACAGCACGTTTTTGGACTCATTCAACAGTTTTCATCTGATTTAATTAGAATAATATTGAAAATTAATGTTGAAAGTTCAATTCTTATTCCTTAAACATAAGTTGAAAATGATTGTCGCTGTTTCCTATTGACAATAACTTTTAATAAATAGCTCGATGTCAAAATACCGTTTGAAGTGTCCAAATCAATATGCAGAAACAGTTTGATGCTTTTGTATATATAATGTATGTGGACACCCCTTCAAATTAGTGGATTAGGCAATTTCAGCCGTACCAGTTGCTGACAGGTGTATAGAATTGAGCACACAGCCATGCAATCTCCATAGACAAACATTGCCAGTAGAGTGGCATTACTGAAGAGCTCAGTGACTTTCAACGTGGCACCATCATAGGATGCCATCTTTCCAACAAGTCAGTTCGTCAAATTTCTGCCCTGCTAGAGCTGCCCCAGTCAACTGTAAGTGCTGTTATTGTGAAGTGGAAACGTCTAGGAGCAACAACGACTCAGCCGTGAAGTAGGCCACACAAGCTCACAGAACGGGACCACTGAGTTCTGTAGCGCGTAAAAATCGTCTGTCCTCGGTTGCAACACACACTACAGAGTTCCAAACTGCCTCTGGAAGCAACTTCAGCACAATAATTGTTTGTCGGGAGCTTCATGAAATGGGTTTCCGTGGCCGAGCAGCGCACAAAACCCTAAGATCACCATGTGCAATGCCAAGCGTCGGCTGGAGTGGTGTAAAGCTCACCGCCATTGGACTCTGGAGCAGTGGAAACGCGTTCTCTGGAGTGATGAATCACGCTTCACCATCTGGCAGTCCGACGGACGAATCTGGGTTTGGCGATGCCAGGAGAACGCTACCTGCCCGATTGCATAGTGCCAACTGTAAAGTTTGGTGGTGAAGGAATAATGGTCTGGGGTTGTTTTTCATGGTTCGGGCTAGGTCCCATAGTTCCAGTGAAGGGAAATCTTAACGCTACAGCATACAATGACATTCTAGATGATTCTGTGCTTTCAACTTTGTGACAACAGTTTGGGGAAGGCCCTTTCCTGTTTAACATGACAATGCCCCCGTGCACAAAGTGAGGTCCATACAGAAATGGTTTGTCGAGATCAGTGTGGAAGAACTTGACTGGCCTGCACAGAGCCCTGACCCCTCAACCCCATCGAACACCTTTTTAGGATGAATCAAAAAGATGATGATTTTTATTTTTTTTATTTGACGCGTTTCGGCTGCATGGCCTTCCTTCCCTGACGTTTAAAAAAAACCTTGTTTCTATTGAACATGCCATACAAATAAAGGCATTTTAATTAATTATATGATGAGTGCCTTGGTCCTCCTTTCTTTTTGATGACCAATTCACCCCTTTGACCAAAGAGCACCTTCTGTCTACCAACATTTACTATTGTGTACCTTAGTAGCGCTTCCCTTCCTCTTTCTTTTAGGATGAATTGGAACACCGACTGCGTGCCAGGCCTAATTGCCCAACATCAGTGCCGACCTCACTAATGCTCTTGTGGCTGAATGGCAGCAAGTCCCCGCAGCAATGTTCCAACATCTAGTGGAAAGCCTTCCCAAAAGAGTGGAGGCTGTTATAGCAGCAAAGAGGGGACCAACTCCATATTAATGCCCATGATTTTGGAATGAGATGTTCTACAAGCAGGTGTCCACATACTTTTGGTCATGTAGTGTATATTAAAAATGTACTACCTACACATACAGTGAGGGGGTAAAAAAGTATTTGATCCCCTGCTGATTTTGTACGTTTGCCCACTGACAAAGAAATGATCAGTCTATAATTTTAAATCCAGAAATACGCATGTCAAAAATGTTATAGATTGATTTGCATTTTAATGAGGGAAAAAAGTATTTGACCCCTTCTCAATCAGAAAGATTTCTGTCTCCCAGATGTCTTTTATACAGGTAACGAACTGAGATTAGGAGCACACTCTTAAAGGGAGTGCTCCTAATCTCAGCTTGTTACCTGTATAAAATACACCTGTCCACAGAAGCAATCAATCAATCAGATTCCAAACTCTCCACCATGGCCAAGACCAAAGAGCTCTCCAAGGATGTCAGGGACAAGATTGTAGACCTACACAAGGATGGAATGGGCTACAAGACCATCGCCAAGCAGCTTGGTGAGAAGGTGACAACAGTTGGGTGTGATTATTCGCAAATGGAAGAAACACAAAAGCACTGTCAATCTCCCTCTGCCTGGGGCTCCATGCAAGTTCTCACCTCGTGGAGTTGCAATGATCATGAGAACGGTGAGGAATCAGCCCAGAACTACACGGGAGGATCTTGTCAATGATCTCAAGGCAGCTGGGACCATAGTCACCAAGAAAACAATTGGTAACACACTACGCCGTGAAGGACTGAAATCCTGCAGCGCCTGCAAGGTCCCCCTGCTCAAGAAAGCACATATCCATGCCCGTCTGAAGTTTGCCAATGAACATCTGAATGATTCAGAGTCCAAAATCGAGCTCTTTGGCATCAACTCAACTCGCTGTGTTTGGAGGAGGAGGAATGCTGCCTATGACCCCAAGAACACCATCCCCACCGTCAAACATGGAGGTGGAAACATTATGCTTTGGGGGTGTTTTTCTGCTAAGGGGACACGACAACTTCACTGCATCAAAGGGACGATGGACGGGGCCATGTACCGTCAAATCTTGGGTGAGAACCTCCTTCCCTCAGCCAGGGCATTGAAAATGGGTCGTGAATGGGTATTTCAGCATGACAATGACCCAAAACACACGGCCAAGGCAACAAAGGAGTGGCTCAAGAAGAAGCACATTAAGGTCCTGGAGTGGCCTAGCCAGTCTCCAGACCTTAATCCCATAGAAAATCTGTGGAGGGAGCTGAAGGTTCGAGTTGCCAAACGTCAGCCTCGAAACGTTAATGACTTGGAGAAGATCTGCATAGAGGAGTGGGACAAAATCCCTCCTGAGATGTGTGCAAACCTGGTGGCCAACTACAAGAAACGTCTGACCTCTGTGATTGCCAACAAGGGTTTTGCCACCAAGTACTAAGTCATGTTTTGCAGAGGGGTCAAATACTTATTTCCCTCATTAAAATGCAAATCAATTCATAAAACTTTTGACATGCGTTTTTCTGGATTTTTTTGTTATTCTGTCTCTCGCTGTTCAAATAAACCTACCATTAAAATTATAGACTGATCATTTCTTTGTCAGTGGGCAAATGTACAAAATACTTTTTTCCCTCACTGTACATGTGCCACAATAGTAATCATATTACTTGTCTTTTTTTAAACGAGCACCTAAAACCCTTTTTTGACAAGTGGCAATAAATAACTCGTATCGATTAGGGGGGAAATCAGGTTGTATGCACTGGTGAAACTAACCCTACTGAAAAACAACAGGAATCTGGAAATAATAATATGTATATCACAAGGGTTGTTATTTAAGTGATAGTTTGACTCTCAAATATGTGGATTGGTGTGAGGCCAGTGACTTTTTTTGTTGTTGTATTTTTATAAAGAGACCGCCCAGACTTCTCTGTCCAATTTGAGTTTGGAAAATGACTGCAGAGTTCTAAGTCCTGCGACCAGTGCATATGACAAAATCAACTGTTTTAAGCATTTGATTTTGTCATCGTACTGACTATAAACTGTTATACTAACATCACCAATCTGAGGTAAAAAGGATGTGTAATTCCCGCTCCAATTTGATGTGGTCAACGAGAGTTTGTGTAATTTATTAACACAATGTTCACATCAAGGAAAGTAGCATAATATTAATTAAATATTGCAAAATAATGTAATATTTTAATTTAGGATGATAGTAAATTAAGCAAACGCAAAACACTGTAAAAAAAAAAAAAAAATCACATCAATAAGGGATCATAGACTGACCAGGTGAAAGCTATGTCATGGAAAGACCATGACACTCGCAATGTTTTGTACACAGTGTGCGTTTCTCACTAGATTAAATATTTAGAGTTTACAAAAATGCTCTATGCATAATTTAACCGGGCGCTCTAGAAAGTTCCCATAGTAGTGACTGTGCAGCAGCCCGTTCATTCACCCTCCCTACCTTTACACAAATTGACAGTGAGTTAATGAGTTCCTCCTATAGGTGATTGCCCTACTTTTCATGAGTCAGGATTTGATCTCTGTCACTGTTCTCCATCTCCCAGGTCTGTTCAGAGCAGCTGTACCCAGTGGCGCCTCCACTGGTATCTATGAAGCCCTGGAGCTCAGGGACAACGACAAGTCACGCTACCTTGGGAAAGGTGTGTATCTGGGCTTAATATAGTGTAACTTCATTATACTGTATGATTATGATGGCAATCAGAGAGGTCTCTATAAACTTGCCATCTGCAATCTTTACACGGTCTTCCTTCCTTTTTATACTCTTCCTCTGTCAGGTGTAAAAAGGTCTGTTAAGTTGGTGAGTTTGCTCCAATTGTGTGTAAACCCTGGATTGTTGATGCTATGTATTGGCCAATGAGTCTTTAAAGCCACTGGCCGCCATATTGGTTTTCCTCAGAAGGAGCAGTCCTCCATAGGAATGAGTGGAATTCTACAGTATTTCAATAAAATATTTCAAGGACAAAATTACAAGTATTTGTTGTAGTTGAGAGTGTAAGATTAGTACTCAAAAAAAATATATATATATATATTTGGAATATATTTTGGTAAATATTTGTTATCAAATTCTTCATGTTTAGTTCACATAATATACTTTTTAAGTATACGTTAAGCCTGCAGTGGAATATTTCCCCATTTTCTTCCACCTACTCATTCAATGGTTTCTTTGTTTTTACATTGTAGAATAATAGTGAAGACAACAAAACTATGAAATAACACATATGGAATCATGTAGTAACCAAAAAAAGTGTTAAACAAATCAAAATATATTTGAGATTCTTCAAATAGCCACCCTTTGCCTTGATGACAGCTTTGCACACTCTTAGCATTCTCTCAACCAGCTTCACCTGGAATGCTTTTCCAACAGTCTTGAAGGAGTTCCCACATATGCTTAGCACTTTTTGGCTGCTTTTCCTTCACCCTGCTGTCCGACTCATCCCAAACCATCTCAATTGGGTTGAGGTCAGGTGATTGTGGAGGCCAGGTCATCTGATGCAGCACCATCACTCTCATTTTTGGTCAAATAGCCCTTACACAGCCTGGAGGTGTGTTGGGTCATTGTCCTGTTGAAAAACAAATGATAGTCCCACTAAGCACAAACCAGATGGGATGGCGTATTGCTGCATAATGCTGTGGTAGCCATGCTGGTTAAGTGTTTTTTGAATTCTAAATAAATCACAGACAGTGTCACCAGCAAAGCACCATAACACCACCTCCTCCATGCTTTACGGTGGGAACTACACATGTGGAGATTTTCCGTTCACCCACACCGCGTCTCACAAAGCTACGGCGGTTGGAACCAAAAATCTCAAATTTGGACTCCAGACCAAAGGACACATTTCCACCGGTCTAATGTCCATTGCTCATGTTTCTTGGCCCAAGCAGGTCTCTTCTTCTTATTGGTGTCCTTTTAGTAGTGGTTTCTTTGCAGAAATTCGACCATGAAGGCCTGACTCACACAGTCCCCTCTGAACAGTTGATGTTGAGATGTGTCTGTGACTTGAACTCTGTGAAGCATTTATTTGGGCTGCAATTTCTGAGGCTGGTAACTCTAATGAACTTATCCTCTGCAACAGAGGTAACTCTGGGTCTTCCATTCCTGTGGTGGTCCTCATGAGAGCCAGTTTCATCATAGCGCTTGATGGTTTTTGCGACTGCACTTGAAGAAGTTCTTAATTTTCTTTATTGACTGACCTTCATGTCTTAAAGTAATGATGGACTGTCGTTTCTCTTTGTTTATTTGAGCTGTTCTTGCCATAATATGGACTTGGTCTTTTACCAAATAGGGCTGTCTTCTGTATACCCCCCTACCTTGTCACAACTCCACTAGTTAACTTTTAACAAGGCACACCTGTTAATTGAAATGCATTCCAGGTAACTACCTCATGAAGCTGGTTGAGAGAATGCCAAGAGTGTGCAAAGTTGTCATCAAGGCAAAGGGTGGCTATTTGAAGAATCTCAAATATAAAATATATTTTGATTTGTTTAACACTTTTTTTGGTTACTACATGATTCCATATGTGTTATTTCATAGTTTTGATGTCTTCACTATTATTCTACAATGTAAAAATAAAGAAACCCTTGAATGAGTAGGTGTGTCCAAACTTTTGACTGGTAGTGTGACTTTCGTCTTATGACTTTGGAAATGGAAAGCAGATAGATCTGTCTCAACTACTGTACTCATCCCTGTGCATGAAGTCAACACTTTGTCACAGTATTGGTTGCATGATTCGCCAAGCTTGATAGCAAGAAAGCTAAAAAACCTATTGGCTTATTAGTGCTCTGACTGTTTTGAGGACCATTTGTTTTAGTTTTAAAATGCGTCTGAAAAAGCATACTGGGTTGTTGTTGCTTGAATTGTTTGTTTCCAAATCCCCCATCTCTCTGTGTTTCTTAGTCAGTAATGTTTCCTTGCCCTTTCAGGTGTTTCACAAGCAGTGGACCACATTAACTCTACACTTGCACCTGCACTCGTTGGGCAGGTAGGAACATATAATACTTTTTAAAAAGTTGATGTTACTACTAGTACATGACATGGAATGTTGTCTTCGCTTGTCTTGAGGTTTCCCACCCTGGTAAAGATACAGGTCTAGTGTTCCGTCCACTTCCACATACTCCTAGTTAATGCAGCCCTAGTTCCTCAGTTTAAATGCAATGTGCTAAACCCTCATTTTCTTTCTTCATCTCAGGATGTATCTGTGGTTGAGCAGGAGAAAATCGATCAGATCATGCTTGACATGGATGGCACAGAGAACAAGTGTAAGTTGTTTCAGATTAGAATACATCAGAGGACCTGTTTTCTTATGTTTTACCTAGTTTAGTTGAATGCACTGACTGTAAGCCACTCTGAATGACAGCGTCTGCTAAATGACCGTAAATATTTGCCCCATATGGAAGTTAATCTTTTTGATCAATTTCACTTATTTATTTTTGACACATATCAGCCAAGTTTGGTGCCAATGCCATCCTGGGTATTTCCCTGGCGGTGTGTAAGGCTGGTGCAGCTGAGAAAGGCGTCCCCCTGTACCGTCACATCGCTGACCTCGCTGGGAACCCAGAGGTCATCCTGCCCGTACCGGTGAGCACAGGGCATATTTTACTCTTACTTAATATCAAAGTGCGCTCACACATGCCTTCTTGTCTTACAGCTTGTTGTGTAGTTACATTTCTCCACCTAGGTCTCTCGTCAAAAAAAAGAAGATCTTAAGGGATAAAAAAAAAAGTGACACTTTATTTAATGAAATGTAATTTTTTTAAATGATGGATTTCTGATTTCCTAGGCCTTCAACGTGATCAACGGTGGATCTCACGCAGGAAACAAGCTGGCCATGCAGGAATTCATGATCCTGCCGGTGGGTGCCAGCACCTTCAAGGAGGCCATGCGTATCGGGGCCGAGGTCTACCACAACCTGAAGAATGTCATTAAGAAGAAGTACGGCCAGGACGCCACCAATGTGGGAGACGAGGGGGGCTTCGCTCCTAACATCCTGGAGAACAAGGAAGGTACGAGAGCGAAGGGATCAGATGGTTTTATTTTCAGCACATAACAAACTATATTTTACTATATTGTGATACTTGATTGGATTCAGCTCTTTACATTGTAAGGGGAAAAACTCACCTCATCCACCACTGTGTAGTACCCAGATGATCACAAGGTGCTGCCAATATCTAATGAACCATATTCAAACAAATGTACACCTCTACTTAATTTTCCATAGCTCTGGAGCTGATCAAAGAGGCCATCAGCAAAGCAGGATACACAGAACAGGTGGTGATCGGCATGGATGTGGCAGCCTCTGAGTTCTACAGGGACGGGAAATACGACTTAGACTTCAAGTCTCCTGATGACCCAGAGCGTTACATCACTCCTGATGAGCTGGCTGACCTCTACAAGAGCTTCTGCAAGGATTACCCAGGTGTGTGTCCTGTCCTCTCTTGTTGACATATTAGTAATTCCTTGATAATTGTTTTAAATGTATGTAATGTTGTCTCTGGCTGGAGCTGCTTTATATGTATTTTAATTCTCATAATTCAATAATTGTACACTAATGGAGATGGGCACTGTGTTTAATATTATGGTTCAAATACCAATGGTAGGACTGCTCTGAGTTGGCAATTGAAATTAAATAAAGTTACGCACATAAAGTGATCAATTGTCTTTTATTCTATGGTTGTCTACTCTGTAAGGTACAGGACCATGACTTTACTCTCTGTATGTGATCACTGATGATCAATGTCCCCTCTTTGACAGTGGTGTCCATTGAGGACCCCTTTGACCAGGATGACTGGGAGGCGTGGTCCAACTTCACCGGCAGCACAGAGATCCAAGTGGTGGGTGATGACCTCACAGTGACCAACCCCAAACGCATCACCAAGGCCGTGGAGGACAAGGCCTGCAACTGCCTGCTGCTGAAGGTCAATCAGATCGGCTCTGTGACCGAGTCTCTGGCCGCGTAAGTTTCAACCTCCCTTTACTCCATAATGACTTCTACAAGAGGAACTCCAGCCTCTGTTATTTTCTGCCTTTTCTGAGATTTGAGTTGACGTAATTATACTATAAATATGCATTACATTCATGATCTATTCATGAAACTGTCAACAAACCGGGATGCGTCTCATATGTGAGTCAAGGCAAGTCAAACAGCCTGACAGTTGCAAGTCTAACATAAGCCTCACATTATGTAATTTTCCAACTGTGTGAAAATGTCTAACTACCTAATGACTCCTCTCTTCCCACTGTCCAGGTGCAAGATGGCTCAGTCCAGTGGCTGGGGAGTGATGGTCAGCCATCGCTCTGGGGAGACGGAGGACACCTTCATTGCTGATCTGGTGGTGGGCCTATGCACTGGACAGGTAAGGGGCTTCCCAAAGGAAATACTGTTCGTATTCAACTGTATATGACAACTCCTGAATTTGTATGTAATATTTAAATGTTTTATTATATAGTCGTATTATTGTATTTTTATTGCTGTTGAAGTAATGTTGCCTCTGTCTGTTCATCTCCAGATTAAGACTGGGGCTCCTTGCCGCTCTGAGCGTCTGGCCAAGTACAACCAGATTCTCAGGTGTGGGTTCATGTCCTTTACAGCCTAATCAATGTCGTGATGCTTATAATTTTTGTTCTGCTACAAAGGCTTTCTTGTTGAGCATGGTTTTTAACTATGTAATCCTGCATGGCATCATAACAATTGTACGAAAGAAGTATGTTTTATTGAATATTGCTTTGTAGTGCTAACCCCCCCCCCCCCCCCCATGTATTTTCTGTTCACTCTCAGAATTGAAGAGGAATTAGGAGACAAGGCTGTCTTTGCTGGGAAGAACTTCAGGAACCCCCTGGCTTAACTGAGTGCAATGGGAACATACTCCTGGGCATATACACAGGCACACACATAACGGTTTAGCAAGCATTCTAATGATTACTTACAAACCCTAAAGAAGCTTACTGAAAACAATCTAAAAGGGTTACATACACATAACGAGGTAGCTAGAAAGACTCATTCAAAATTCCAGTCCAATACTATAGGTTATTACATACATTCCCTAGTCTACCTACATTCCGCTGCCCTAGATTAACAAATTGCCTGTGAGTTGCAATGAATGTCTTCCACCTGAAAATCTATTCCAATATACAGTAAAATAATTATATTTATGAATAATCAATGCAATGGATTGTGAAATTACGAAAGCTGCAGCCTACCTGTGGCCGTAGATATAGTGAATAAACCTATTTTCTTGAAAGGGAGCCATTTGTCATTATTCTCAGCAGGATGTGTAAATGTTTGATTGTCAAGCATATTATAATAAAATGTATAGTGTGATGGGTGAATGATAATATTGAATTAGTTATATAGCTAATTGTTTTATGTATGGACAGTTCTTTCATTTAACCTATTCAGTATGATCGCTTTCTACAATCTTCCTGGAATTCTGAATTATATCTGATGCGTTTGATGATCTTCTGTATTTTTGCGTCGATGCTTAAAAGGGGCACGGCTCTGTGGACATCAAGTGGGTGATCCTATTAGCGACCGCGGCACATGCTCAGTTATGTCTACAGAGAAGGGAACTTTGAAGGCTGAGCGTGGGGGCTGAGGTCATTGCACAGCTTAGTGGTAGGAAAAAAAATCGACTCCTCGTATCCTCCATTTTGAGTAGTAGCTATGAAATAGAGGAATAGCATAGTTTGTATCGACCACTACGCTGGCAGTGTCAACATAAAAACGACACAAGCCTCCGACATGGACGACTTGTTCAGTCCGAGAAGGTATTCGAGTTGCCTCGTTAAATGTATATTGTTTTGGACGCGAACATCTTGAATTGTAGTGTTTACATTGCCATTTTTATGACATACTTGGAATGTCAATTGTCGCGATGGAGTTGTTAGCCTAATCCATGTAAAGCTAACAAGCTAGCTAGCTACCGTACGGATAAAATATTTAATTCCATTAGCTAACGTTAGTGCATTGTGGACTTTACTGTCATACCGGTATGTGTCAAATCAGCTGTGACAGATTTGCTGTGTGTGGTTTCTGTCGATTTTCGGCTCCTTGTAAAGATAGCTAGCTAGCTACACATCATTGGACAAGAGTATGTAGCTAGGTTATATCAATACTCCATTTTGCGAGACTTGTCGTGCCACGTAAATAGACGCGTTGACGACGTGAGGTTGCTTATTTCAAATCTAAAATATGCGTTATTATACGCTCAAAAGCAACATGCTTGTTGACATTTTGTAAAAAGAAGTCGATGTGTGATTGATATGCTTTGCAAGGGCCTCGAGACTAGTCTCGTTTATGTAATGTTTGGAGGCGGGAACGTAATAGCCGCACTCAGATTGGCTCTTACTGATGGATGGGCGGGATTAAAGGAAAGCACTGCCCAATTGAAATGCAATATTAACCCAGTAATATTCTGATGTTTAGATTAGGGATTAAAATATTGTCACTACTCATATAGCCTATTTGATTTGTGTTAAATATGCATAATCCCTGTTGCATATGCACAACAACACATGCATTAGCATTTTGCTAATTTGCACCCCAGTATCTCTATTTGCACATCATCTTTTGCACATCTATCATTCCGGTGTTAATTACGAAATTGTAACTATTTTTGCACTATGGCCTATTTATTTATTGCCTTACCTCCATAACTTACTACATTCGCACACACTGTATATGTTTTGGTTACCCCATATGTAACTCTGTTGTTTTTATCGCACTGCTTTGCTTTATCTTGGCCAGGTCGCAGTTGTAAATGAGAACTTGTCCTCAACTGGTTTACCTGGTTAAATAAAGGTAAAATAAAATTAGTATGTCATAAAAAGGGATGTATCTAGCAGTAGACCTTGTTCTCGTTCTGTTTAAGAACAGAACATGAATTAACATTAATTATATAGTTATAAACATTTAAAATCCAATACAACTTTATTATCCATATGTTACAGCAAACAGCAATTTGATGGCACACATCACACACAGTTGAGAGGAGCACCGGTTCAAGCTGCAGTGCAGCACCCCTGGATGAAGAGCATGTTGTGGGTTTAAGGGCCCTGTTTAAGGACCCAACCAAAGGGGATTGTTGTTAAACTGTGAACCCAGCTGCCCTCCGGTTGCCAGATCAAATCCGCCCTTTATTTCCAGTACCCTGCCCGGGATTCAAACCGGCAACCTTTCAGCTATTGCTCCAACTCCTTAGCCGCTGGGCTAACTACTGGCCTTACACTGTTTACTTGATTAATAATAAAATAAAATACAATTGTATTTATCACTTGCGCCGAATACAACAGGTGTAGACCTTACAGTGAAATGCTTACTTACAAGCCCTTAACCAACAATGCCGTTTTAAGAAAAATAAGTGTTAAGTAAAAAATGGATAAGTAAAATTTAAAAAAAGTAACAAATACTTAAAGAGCAGCAGTAAAATAACAGTAGCGAGGCTATATACAGGGGGTACCGGTACAGAGTCAATGTGCGGGGACACAGGTTAGTCGAGGTAATTGAGGTAATATGTAGTTAGAGTTAATAATACAATTGATAATGAAAGTTGACTTGATGCAAAGAAACATTTTTTTACTTGTGTTTCTTGCTTTGCATTGCATTGTCCAACATTTTTATTTATTTATCTTGGTTCCTTTCTGTTCATATTATCAGTTGCAAATATGATAAAATAGAGGCTAGTTAATGTAATTAAATGTACAAAAACGTAATAATAATAATATAACAATGTAATGATATATGTAATTTATGTTATAACTGAATTATCCCTATTTCCAGGAGCCTGAACAGCACGCAGGGGGAGATCAGAGTGGGATCAAGTCATCAGGTAATAGTCCAACAACCCCCTTTAAGCAAGATGTCACTCTGTCTACTCTGTATTGCCCATATGAGACCTTACCAGATAGCAGTACCGGTTTGTCTTCGACAGTCTCTAGCAAAATCTCTGAGATACTTGATTCATACAGTGTGTCATCATAAACTATCTCACTGTCATAACCTGTCATAAATTTGCCTATATTTGTGAATTACATGGCGCAAAAGTCATATCATTGTAATAAACTGTCTGTGACAGTGAGACTAACATGTTACCTGTCTGTATTATTCGTGTGTATGCAGGCTAAGCTCCCTGAGCTGCAACCACGCCCTGTGTTTGGTGTGCAGACCCAGACAGAGAATGAAGAGTTGGTGTGGATGCCAGGGGTCAACGATTGTGACCTCCTCATGTACCTCAGAGCTGCTAGGTTAGTGTCAACTCAGCAGCACTCAAATTAGCCTGGTTCCAGATCTGTTTGTGCTGTATACCCAACTCCTGTGGTTGTTGTTGGCTATACAGCACAAACGGAACTGGGACCAGGCTACACTCATACTGTATCTCTTGTGTGATGAATGGCGCATACGATTCCTGCCAGATTTAAAGACGGATGGGATGCATTCAAAACCTTGGTGTCTGTCAGCGTTGCATAACACTGGTGGTGAGAGTGATGTGCATTATTATGGTCATTAAGTTGTGTGCGGAAAAGAACATAATTGTTTCAGCTTGATGAGCATATCAAGAAAGTGTGACTGCTGCTGGTTTTTAGTTGTCATTTAGTCTAAAGACTTGTCCTATCAAAGTTCTTCTAGCTAGCCTGTCAGGTCATTATTGTTAAAGATAATGTCATTTAAAAACGCTTCTGTAGGAGTCTGTAGTGTACAATGTTTGTCATGCTTGTCATCCTGACTGACTGCACAGCCCTCCTAATGTATTTATCTTCCCTGCCTCTTCCTGATTGAAGGAGTATGGCAGCGTTTGCAGGGATGTGTGATGGAGGATCTACAGAGGACGGTTGTTTGGCGGCCTCTCGTGATGATACAACACTCAACGCTTTAAACATGGTCAGCAGGATACGTTTGCTGCATTTAAATGGGAATATATTCATTTTCACCTGTTTAATTAAATTTTTCTCGTTTTTCTTTTTAAATGTATTTGTTGTTTTTAAGAAAAAAAATGGTAGAGAAAATTTGAACAATATATTGTTACGAATAAGATCTTGAACCCTTCTCAGTATCTCTGTGTTCCTCTGTCTCCCTCTACAGTTACACGCCAGCCGTTACGACGCAGCTAAAGCTCTCCAGCGCCTAGTGAAGAAACCTGTGCCCAAACTCATTGAGAAATGTTGGTCAGAAGATGATGTGGTAAGGCAGCTTGTACCATGCTTACTTCAGGTCCAAAGACAATGTTTAACTTTAGGCACTACGGCCCGATTTAGAGTTGAGATGAGCGTTGTAACTCTGACTTTTGCATAAATCATTCTTTGATGTCAACGGAAGACTTGCGCAGATAATTGAGTTAAGTGTTCAAATTTCAAGGCCGAATATAGCCCTATGTGCTATTAGGGCTGCTCGGTGGTTACTCCAAGCAACAAGGCTATGCATGTTCAGTATGAATTATGGCCATTGTGTAACATAGACAACAGTGGAACAATTTGAAACACATTTACACTGCATGGTATATTGCACAAGTCATATGTTTGGGAACTATGTTGACTTTGTTTTGCTTCCCCGACAATCTTTTTAAAATCAACAGAAGCGGTTTATCAAAGGTTTGAGACAGTATGGCAAACATTTCTTCAGGATTCGCAAAGAGCTGCTGCCCAACAAGAAAACGGTAAATGAAAATACCTGGTGTTATATATTTTATTATCATACTGCCTCTCATGTCTGTCTAGACATAACGGACAGATATAAATGGACATAACTATACACACAATCAACAGACCTAACTGTTTGCAATGCAGTCAGTGGTTCCCTGTATCTTCATTGGATTCTGCATTCTGTGCCCCTCCTCAAAATCACACGTGTTGTGTTGTTGGCAGGGTGAGTTGATCACATTCTACTACCACTGGAAGAAGACGCCCGAGGCTGCAGGCACCCGGCCCTACCGTCAGCACCGTAGACAGCCATCCTCACGCAAGGCCAAGACTCGCGCCGCCCTTGCCACTGTGAATACCCCCTCCCGGTCCCAATCCAGTGAGTGCCGGGGATTTTCAATTCCCCTAAGATTGAGCTGGCTTTCCCGGACACAGATTAAGACTAGTACTGGACTAATTGTGCATGCTTTTTAATCCAGAATGAGGCTTAATCTGTGTGTAGAAACAGGCCCTTAGTGTTCTATCTTCCAGTAACTGTAGATAACACAAAAATATCTGTATAGCACTTTGTGACATCTGCTGATGTAAAAAGGGCTTTATAAATACATTTGATTGATTGAACTACTGCTGCTCTTTAATTATTTTTTATTTTTTACTTATCTATTTTTTACTTCACTTATTTTTCTTAAAACTGCATTGTTGGTTAAGGGCTTATAAGTAAGCATTTCACTGTAAGGTCTACACCTGTTGTATTCGGCGCATGTGGCATAGAACATTTAATTTAATTTGAATAGGAGTGGGTATAGTCTTTAATCTGATCGCTTCTCTCACCTGCAGTGGATGTGAGTTCGGCCAGTGACGACGATCTGGACAGTGAAGACAGCGAGCAGGGCACCTGTGGACACTGTGCCACTACCAGTGAGTACAGCTGAACTCTCTCCCATTTCTCTTCAGAGAATACAACTATGTTATTCCCCCATTGATTCTATTGGCTTGCATTGATGTAATGTATCGTACTTGCTCCACCAGCCACCAGTGCTCGTCAATGGGTTCTGATGCACTGTATATCTGTGTACTATGTAGCTGTCAAATCCAATTTCTCCTTTCAGGATCAATACCGTTGATTAAATTAAATGTAATGCTTTAAAGGTCCAATGCAGCTGTTTTTATCTCAATATCAAATCATTTCTGAATAACAGTTAAGTACTTTACTGTGATTGTTTTCTATTAAAATGGTCAAAAAGAAACAAAAATAGCTTTTTAGCAGAGAGCAATTTCTCAAGCAAGAATCTTGCAAGGACTGTCTGGGAGTGGTCCGAGTGGGGAGGGGAAAACTAGCTGTTACTGGCAGAGAGGTTTGGAACTCTCTTTCTTATTGGTCTATTAACTAATTTACTGCCTGGTGATAACTCCATCCTACCAAAACAGGCTGAAATTTCAGGCGGTCTTTTCAAACAGCTCTTACACTAAAACGGCATTATCATCATTTCCATAATTTGACAGTATTATTCCAACCTCATAGTGTGGAAATATGTATAAAACACAGGAAAATGACTTAATTTCAGCCTCTAAGGACTGGCAGCACGGAGGCAGGGATAACATCCTCTTGTGTACCACTTGTCGGACCTTCTTCAACAAACATGGCCGCCTGCCGCCCGGCCCCAAGCCTGCTGACCCTCCCTTCATGTTCAAACCTGTCAAAGAGGAAGAGGAGGGCAACGGGAAGCACGGCATGAGGACGCGACGCAGCAGAGCACCGGTAAGGCTGAGAACCTCCCATCTTAGCCCCATATAGTGTATACCTCCCTGCCACCCTCACTCCTTTTTCTCAGTCAGTCAGGGAAAGATATTGATGGTACTATCTATTGTTGTTATAATCATTCTCTCTTTCAATACTTACTCCAAGTTGTATCTCTCTCCAGTTGTCTTCACTAAGAAGTGGCCACAAGAGGCGGACCGGCTCTCCTACCAGTGAAGACCAGCAGTCCAGTAGCCATCCCTCTCCCGCCCCCAGTGGAGCTAGCTCCACCTCCAACACATCCAGAAGCTCCTGCTCAGACAAGACAGACTCCTCAAAGAAGCCTGGCAAGGTACATATTATTTTAAGTCAGGGATATAGATTTGTATGCACTGTAATGGCGCATTTGTGAATTGGAAGTACGCTTCATATCATAACCAACATCTAGTTGTATATCTGCCATTCAGACCAGGGCTTCCTCTTCATCCAAATACTTTTGACTGTGTTGTACGTACATTGTAGAACTGAATTGAATAAGTGAATGATATTCCTTCCATCCAACAGAAGATCAAGGAAGAGGCGCCCCTACCAAAGAGTACTAAACGTTCCAGGGAGAGTGCAGCCCAAGACCCAGAGGAGCCTGAGAGAACTCCAACTAAAAGGACCAAGACACAGCAGGTGAGACGGAGACGAAGACAGTAGTGAGGCAATGACAGCTAAAAGGTTCAAGATCAGAGCGAAGCAAAATGTACAAAACCAGCTCTCAGAAATGCTTTTGTTGCCTCATTGTTCTTCATTTAATGTCTTATCTTCCTTCACTGAGCTACATTGTTGAGTGTGCCTAGATCTATCCAGTGCCTCTTTTCGTGTAACATTAACATGATGAGAACTCCCCTCACCGACAATTCTAATCGTGTGTCATTCCTCTCTGGGTGAACAGGTGGAGTGCCGGTCGGAGGGCGATGGAGAGGCTGAGGCAGAGGGGGGTGAGGTGGAGGAGGAGTGCTGCTCAGACAGCCGCAGTGCCCAGGACGACGGCAGCAGCGACACCAAAGACATCGACCAGGACAACCGCTCCTCCTCCCCCAGCATCCCCAGCCCTCGCCAGGGCAATGAGGGCAACGAGAGTGACTCCGACTCCTCTGCCCAGCAGCACCAGGTTGGCCACCAGGCGGCAGCAGAGACCGTCAGTGCCCCTGCTGCTGCTGCCCTGGCTGAAACACAGACCTCACAGACTGTTCTTCCACCACAGGCTGCAGTCTCGACCACATTCCTGCCCCCCCAGGGCACCTCTCCCTCTGCAGATCCTGGCCAGGTACAGGCCCAGGCACCCCCCTCCCCAGAGCCCCCCCAGCCTTCAGTAGCCTCTGCCCAGGCTGGTCAGTCAGCTGGCTATGAGTCAGGCCCACCACACAGCCAACCCCCACCCCCCTCCTCTCACCCTATCTCTGGCCCATCACCCCTCCCTCCACCACTGGGACAGGCCTTTCATCCTCCATCTCCTGTGTTTCAGGGTCCTCTTCCTCCAACTGGCTCTCTTCCTCCCACCCAGCCCCTGCCCCTCCATGGTGCTCCCACCCAGGGTCCCCGCCCCCAGCGACCCCCTCCTCACATACCCAGGGAACCTCCCTTCTCCCAGGCCCTCCCGCTCACATCTGGGCCCCAAATCAAACCACCCCCAACCACCCCCATCCCACCATCGCACAAGCAGCAGCCACCGCACCTCTCCTCTGCTCCCCCTTTCCTCCAGATGCCGTCCAACCTGCCCCCACCGCCAGCACTGAAGCCCCTCAACTCCCTGCCCAACCAGCACCCTCCTGGTGCCCCTCCACCCCCCCTCCAGCTCATGCCCCAGTCCCTGCCTGTGCAGCAGGGACTCCCACCCCAGCCTCCTGTGCTCACTCAACTGCAGAACCTCCCTGGCAGAGGCAGTCACTCCCACTCATCCCTGCCCTCCTCCTCTGGCCCCTTGGCCTTGCACCCTGTCCCCTCTGCCTCCTCTCCCTCTACCATGGGTCCAGTCCCTGGTCTCCAGTCCTCCTTCTCCTCCCTGCCCCTGCGCCCCTCGTCTGGAAACCCCATTGGCATGGGAGGGTCAAATGTCCAGATTAAAGAAGAGCCATTGGATGAGTGTGAGGAGCCTGAGAGCCCGCCCCCTCCACCCAGAAGTCCCTCACCAGAACCTTTGGTTGTCAACATCGCCAGCCATGCCAGCCAATCAGCACGGTACTTACTGCATGACATCACTCATGACGGTCCTATAGAATAGGTCTCCTTTACAGAGTTAATTGTGGCCATATTGTTGACCACCTTGTGGTGTTGTTTCTCGAAGGATAACAGATGTTGTTCTTCTGAGTTACCTACATTCTCAAACATATTGTTGTGTGATTGCTAAATATGCTGTTTTGATACATGTCCATTGTTATTCATTTCAGGTTTATCAAATACCTGGACCGTGGCTACAACTCGTGCTCCAGAACAGACCTGTTCTTCACCCCTCTGTCCTCATCCAAGCTGGCCAAGAAGAGAGAGGAGGCTGTGGAGAGATCCAAGAGAGAGGCTGAGCACAACGCCCGAGAGAGAGAGAGGGAGAAGGACAGGGAGAGAGAGCGGGAGAGGGAACGAGAGAGGCAGGAAGACAAAAATGCTGTGAGTAATATGTTGTGCTATTCCTACTATTCCTTTTTTTCTTTGACATAAAGAAAGTGTTCAGAAGGGAAACCCGAGTGTGGTGCCATTAGCGGATATTGCACCAATTGGAATCACACTCTATTTACATGCAGTCTATTTAAGTCGACCGGTTTTACACATGCCAGATCGCTGGTGTCTCTTTCTGCTATTACTTGCTATGCTTGCTGTGTTCTGATTTCTGTGCTTCTTCTTCCAGGGGATTTGATAGAGCATATTGTGCTCACTGCTCTGGCACTGAGCTACCTGAAGGAGCAGAGCCTATCGTTTCCTTTCTGAACTGACATGTCTTACCATCTTGTATTTCAGCAATGTTATCAATTATATTATTATATAGTACAACAACGTTAACAGTTAATGATGCCTGAAGGGCTCTATACATTGTTTTCTCGCAAATTTGAACAACCTAAATGTCCCTCTTCCTCTTCCAGAGAGCGTCCTGCTCGTCCCATGACAGCCGTATGAGTGATGTCCAGATGACTGGCCAGGTCCACATGCGTTCCTCCTTCGAGCAGCCCCCCACCAGCGTGGCGGCTGTCCCCCCTTACATCGGACCCGACACCCCGGCCCTGCGCACCCTTAGTGAGTACGCCCGACCCCACGTCATGTCCCCCACCAACCGCAACCACCCCTTCTTCGTGTCCCTGTCCCCCGGGGACCCCCTGCTGGCCTACCACATGCCCGGCCTGTACGCCGCTGACCCCAGCATGCGAGAGAGGGAGCTCCGCAACCTCAGAGAGAGGGAGCTCCGTGAGAGGATGAAGCCCGGCTTCGAGGTCAAACCCCCGGAGATGGAGAACATGCATCCATCAGCCAACCCCATGGAGCACTTTGCCCGACATGGAGCCCTGGCCCTGCCCCACATCGCTGGGCCACCCCACCACCCCTTTGGCCACTTCCATCCGGCCATGCAGAACCACCTGGAGAGGGAGAGGCAGGCGCTGGCCCTGGCCGGGCCCCAGATGCGTCCGGAGCTGAGCTACGCTGAGCGGCTGACTGCTGAGAGGCTCCATGCAGAGAGGATGGCGTCTGTGGCTAACGACCCGGCCGCCAGGCTGCAGATGCTGAATGTGACGCCGCATCACCACCAGCACTCCCACATCCACTCACACCTACACCTGCACCAGCAGGACCCACTCAACCAAGGTGAGGGTAAGGACACTTCTATGTTTTTTTCTATCTTGCTTTTGTTTCATCTTCAGGATATGTATGTACGTATGTGTACTGTGTATTCACAAATCGATTCTTGATTTTGTTCTGTCATCTAAGACAACCATTTTTAAAAACTTTTTTTTAAAGCACAGAATGAAGTGGTAATAGTTTTTCAACATCTATGGTGAGGGCAGCTTAAGGACCAGGCACTGCTACTAGCTAGCTATCTTAATAAAATAATATATTCATTCTTATTTCATGTTTGATATTCTTATGTATTGTTGAGAGAGGATGCCTCTCCTCACTGTTACTGTGTCTACCTACCAGTGTAGCTGTCAGTTGGGATGCGTGTATTGCTCATCCCCCTGCCCCATGTTAACTGATGTGTGTGATATGTGTTAATTTATATACTGTTTGTTCTCCTGCTTCATTAGATGATGTGTGTTACTGTCACCCAGGTAATGGCCCCCACCCTCTGGATCCCCTGGCTCCAGGGCCCCGGCTGGCCCGCTTCCCCTTCCCTGGAGGCCCCATCCCCAACCCTCTGCTCAACGACCTGCCCCACGACCATGACATGCTGCGACACCCACTGTTTGGTGAGGAACCTCAACCTAAACCTTGACTGTTTATATGGGAACACACACATTCAATTCAATTTAGACTATATTTCTGTGTGATTGTGTGTTGACTGATACTCACTCTGAGGTTTTGTGCCCCTTGATCAACATCCAAACAGCTTATGCTGCTGTTGCAGGAGCAGGGTACCCCCGTGAGCTCCAGGGCCCCATCCCCCAGATGTCTGCAGCCCACCAGCTCCAGGCCATGCACGCCCAGTCAGCAGAGCTGCAGAGGCTGGCCATGGAGCAGCAGTGGCTGCACGGACACCACCACTTACAACATGGGGGGCATCTGCCCGGGCAGGAGGATTACTACAGGTGAGGTGATTACCACCTCGAAAAACAACCAACAACAACAGTTTACCTTAATCACAGTGCTTTCATTTATGCATTTATTGAGAAATCCAATCACTAGACAAAGTTGGATCTTGATTATTGAGGAGTTAATATTTTATTTTGTTTACCTGAACACAGTGAATACTTTAAAGAGCCAATGCTTTTATTTATGTATCAGCATTTATTGAGAACTTAAATCACTAGACAAAAGTAGGATTTTGGTTTATTGATGAGCTATTGCACTGACATTAATATTTTATTATTGTTGTTTTCCACCACAGCCGTCTGAAGAAAGAAGGTGACAAGCCATCGTGAGACACCTGACGGTGTGAGTCACCATGAAAATACATAGATACATTATGCGACAACTAATCTTAGTGTATCCTTTTCTATAAGTCTAAATGTAATTGAGAATGAACAATCTTTGGATCTGTATGCTTGTTTCTTTCTCAGCACTTAAAAGGATAGTTTACCCCCAAATCATCAAAGTTTGTGAGACTTTTTCATATTTCAATAATGGTCTGTTATAAAATAGAAGATTAGCATAGTCTCTATTCCATGCCATTTGTTGTCTAGATGTTATACATTTTTCCACTTAATATGGATTTTGTAGTTTCTAGAGTTCTCCTAATGCAATATATAGCAGGTGCGGAATATGGCTCACCTTTGGAGTTATGAAAACATCTGACAAACTTTGATTTGGGGGGTGAACTATAATTTTAATTTCTAAACAATTTGAATGATCTCCTTGTACAGAATTACATTTAATATTAGATGTTTGGATGATTGACTGTAATAACCTTGCATGACTGTTTCCCTTCGATTTTCATCAGAACTTAGAGTAGCGTTGTTCATTTGTGTTTAGACAACTAAAAAGCATAGTAGATTAATTTTATTCTATATCTGCTAAATATTTGTCTAAACCCTAAAGTTTTATATATTTCAAGATAAGTTTTCACAATTTAACCTAAGCTCTGACACATACAGTACATTTTTGAGATTGTAAATAATATATGTTCAATATTCTATATTAATAACTATGATTATTATTAATATGAGGTGTGAATTCTTGACTTGCAAGCTGGCACAATAAAGTTAAATTATTTAGATATATATACACAGTATATATAGCGTTATAAAGTAAAGTGAGTTAACACAGAACATTATAAATTGGAGTATCACTATTGTCGCCCCTGACAGAAAACGGTGTTTAGAACAGTGGATCCGGATAGTAATATTGTGTTGGTTAGACGAAACAGAAAAAGCATTTAAACCTTGGCATCCCTACCATGGACAAATCCTGTTTTAATATTTATGTGAAATAATAATCATATGGAAAAACAAAATGTACGCATTGCATATTTATTTGAATAAATAATTCTGCAATAACATGATAACATTTGTTGAAAGTATATATTCTGTATGTATGGTTGCTTAGGATGGGAATTGTTTTTCTGGTAACAGCATTTGGCCAATAGGGGGCAATCCTCACCCTTCCTCATTGAAGCTGTGCTGTTTCAGTAAGATCACTGTACTCTCTGTGGCCATTTCAAATCCCAACACACTAACTGAGTGTATGGGAATGTAGACCCTACATCCAGACTTGTGCATTTATATATACAAATTGGAGACAGAGAGGAAGAGATGCATGGTGGTACATTTAATTGCTAAACAATGACAAATAGCTTCTTGAAGTTATTCCATCAACTTATACACATAGCACCATATATTATAGTGGTTCATTAAACTTTTCTAAGGTGGAAAGTGCTAGTGTTGCTTTTGATATTAATTTCACATTTCTCAAATATTGCAGATACCATTTGGCCTTTCTTTCCACTGCTGATAAAACTAATCGGAGCCTTGCATAGACCATGTTAATATTGCATTTTCTAATCATGCAGAATCATGCTGAAGTACATTCAGTTACTTGAATAGGTGCACAATATGAATATGTTGTGTACACGACAGAGCCCTTGGTGGAAATGTAATTGATATCTTAGATGGTAATTTGCAACAGCTGAATGATTTGTTTGGACTGACCATAATCTAGATAATTTATTACACAGCAACCAACCACATGTTATCAAATTGTATCAATTCTTTCATTTAGACATACTTAAAACTCTTCCTCCAATTCTTTCTCTTCACTCAACGCTTTGGAAGGACATTCTGTCATGTAGGTCATGACATGTACAATACACTATATGTATGTTGACCATGTACATTCACATGAAATGTTGCACATTTCCCTTTTGCAAGCACAGAATATTTTGCAAATGTTTCCCATTTGGATGCATGACAAAGCAAAGACATACCGAAGGCTGTAGCTTCTCTCCAAGCATTAACATAAACCTACCAGGCTCTTTGAATTACACTTAACTCTGACAAATCAATTTTCTCCACATAGACTTTCTACATACAAATTGCATTAATTTTTCTTTGCAGCTGGTAGAGCACGGCGCTTGTAACGCCAAGGTAGTGGGTTCGATCCCCGGGACCACCCATACACAAAAATGTATGCACGCATGACTAAGTCGCTTTGGATAAAAGCGTCTGCTAAATGGCATATTATTATTATTATTATTATCAAAAATAGGCACTCTGGTTAGCTTTCAAATTCTCTTGATAAAATGTAAGAACTGACAATGCTGACTGACTTAATCACAACAAATGCTTTTTACAACACCCAAGTGCTCTGTTTTATTACATGAAGGCACCACATAGTCATGCTTACCATGTTACTGTAAAGTTACATTGACATACTGTACAGTCTCTATTAGTCTCTATGGTCCACATCAACCTCCGTTCACCCAGATTTTTTTTATCCCTGCTATTTAGGGTTTTTTAATGCTATCTGAGAAATGTTCATATTGATATTCATATTGAACATACTAATTTAGAAAATGTCTCACTGTCAAAACCTAATTTAATTTACCAGCTCAAGCTTCCTGTTGAGTAAAACATTTGTGGCCGGTGTCCCAGACACAGATTAAGCCTAGTGCCAGACTAAAAAGCACTTTTGATGGAGATTTAGTCCTGGACTAGACATAATCTATATCCGGAAAACTGCCCCATGTGGATTAGAATGCTTATTAACTTTACTACTACTGTACTGCCAGTAAACAGTATGTAATGCTATGGCAATTACTACTGTGAGTGAGATATAAATGGTTGTTAGTGTTTCTACATTGTATGAAACTCTTATGACACTCCTATGGCCCCAAGTGAAAATGTTTGGAAAGGGTTCTCTAGAAGCAATAGCTACATATCATGCCTCGTCTTCAGTTGAATCATTCAGGTCTTCAGCTTCCCTTCTCTTCACCACATAGCGCCGAAGGTACTGGATGGCAGATATGGCACTCACATTTGCCAGCAGAGCTGAACAATTGTTCAGAGAGAGTTATTTACATAATTTGAAATCTGTCTTGCAATTATACCAGTCCGGTCCCAGCTCTGTTTGTGCTATCTTGGTAACTCATTGTCACGCCAATATTTGGTATGGCAATTCCACAAGGAGTTGGCAAGTGCAGAAACAGACTGGCATCCTGGCTACAATTAGACATGGGTCATTGACTTATTTATGTTCCGTTTTAATACGTAAGAAATGTATAGAATAAATACAATAAAACATTGATATAAAAACCAATGATAATTGATGACAGTGTTATTTTAGCAATAGTAAGCGGTTCTATGGAATTACCTGCTTTCCATGTGTCTGCAGCCATTGGATCAGCTGACCTCAGTACCCAGGAGGCAAAGGCAATACAGACCAGACACATGTCAGACTGCTTCAGTGAGAAGAGGATGCCATCTTTCTCTACAGGAGGGAAAACATATGTAACTGGGATGGGTCAATGAAAATACATTACCTTTATACATAAAATACATACCTTTATGTATAATGTACATGTAACTGCCAAAATAAAGGAAACACCAACATAAAGTGTCTTAATAGGACGTTGGGCCACCACGAACCAGAACAGCATAGATCCTACAAGTGTCTGGAACTCTATTGGAAGGATGTGACACAATTTCTCCACAAGAAATGTGTTGTTTTGTTGATGGTGGTAGAAAACGCGGTCTCGGGCACTGCTCCAGAATCTCCCATAAGTGTTCAATTTGGTTGAAATCTGGTGACTGAGACGGCCATGGCATATGGTTTACATCGTTTTCATGCTCATCAAACCATTCAGTGACCACTCGTGCCCTATAAATGGGGGCATTGTTGTCCTATGGGTGCATAGCCATGGTAGCCAAAATAATGGTCTGTCCAGGATTTTTATACATGACCCTAAGCATGATGGGATTTTAATTGCTTAATTATCTCATAACCACACCTGTGTGGCAGCACCTGCTTTCAATATACTTTGTATCCCTCATTTACTCAAGTGTTTCCATTATTTTGGCAGTTACCTGTATGTGTTTAAGTATAAGAATGTGAATGTACACATTTGTGTGTGTACAGGTAAAGGATCAACCATCTCACATCACTGGATAATACTTACTTGATACTGAGACGGATGTCTGTAGGCTTTTGAATCGTCTCTGCTTCTCTGAAAGCTGTCTGAAGATCTGATGTCCGAGTTGGATGACCTCAGGAGGAGGAGGGGAGATCCTGGTTGCTTTGTTGACAATTGTATCAGCTTGGCTGCTCGGTGTAATGGGAGGGGGCAGAGCCCTCTGAGCCTGACTCACAGCTGGAGACATCCAGGCACCAGACCTCCAGCACCAGCTAGTGCTGCCTTTTCCTGGGAAGCGGATCCTCCTCAGGGAGAGCAGGCTCTTCCAGTTCCCTGTCCAGCCTCTCTGGCTGTAGAAGTGGGTGTTTGGTGGGTAACCATCTGGGGCTGCAGAAGAGGAGGAGGAGAGGGACACAGCCTCTTTGGCCTGGATGTCGGAGCGAGTCACCACTCGGATAGGGGAGCAGTCGTCCTCCTCCTCGGATTCGAGATATGTGTCTTGTTGTGGGAAGAGAAAATCTTCCAGTTCGGGGAACGTGAGGTCTCGTGCAGCCGAGCGGGAGCAGGAGAAGATGGGGACTGGTTCTCCTTCACCATGCAGGGACTGCTGGACCAGGGGAGGGAATAACACTCCAGCTCTGTACTTAGAAAGAGAGTAGTCATAACAGCTCTCAGGCACTGACATAGACATTAGGGACTTGTAGACAGAGAGGACATCCTCTGTGAACAGGTACTCATATAGTTCTGGAAAGGTGATTCTGTAGAGTTCGTCCAGTATGTCTGTGTTGGGTAGAATTGGGGAGGGCGTTCGGCTGATCCTATCAATCACAGCAAGAACAGGATTCTCTGCCAAGTCCAAGTCCTGACAGCTGTTGAGAAATAATCTATTTTCGGCTTCCTCGATCATGTCCTTTAGCTCCATCTCGACCTCCAGAGCTTGGACATTGTGTATGTCTTTTATTTCCAGAGCTTTTTTTACGACCATCTCCAGCTGCATTTCTACTTTTGCTACCTCCAGAGCTTGTACATTTTGCATGTGTTTTGGCCTCGTTTCTATATCCAGAGCTTGTACAATGGGCACGTCCTTTAGCTGTAGCTCAACCTCAAGATCTTGTACATTGTGCATCTCCTGTAGTTGCATCTCTACCTCCGGTACCTCCAGAGCTTGTACAATGCACATGTCTTTTAGCTCCATCTCGACCTCCAGAGCTTGTACATTGTGCACATCTTTTAGCTGCATGTGGATCTCCAGAGCTGCTTGTACATTGCACATGTCTTTCAGTTGCTTCTCGACATCCAGAGCTTGGGCATTGTGCATGTCTTTCAGCTGCATCTCTACTTTAGCTACCTCCAGAGCTTGCACAATGTTGCACATGCTTCTGCTCTTCTTGATCCCTTTCAGGCATGTAGCTTCTGGGAGGAGGCTGGTGTTGGAGATGCTGTCTTCATTGGGGATGCTGTCTTCAGAGGAGGAGGATAGTGCTGCAAGCTCCTCACAGTCAACAGGAGTGGCCAGGCCAGTACTGGAGTCTGTTTCTTCCTCTTGTGAGATGGCTCCTGAGCAGGGAGACTCTGGTCTTCTTCGTTTGAAGTTCCCAGGCTCAGGGCTGGGGTTTGAGCTGGTTCCAAAAAATTGCATGTACTCTTCGTCAAAATCAGAGAAGGTAGAGAACTCGCAACTCGAGCGGTCTGGCTTGGGGGAGTCATCGTTGTGTGTGAAATAGTCAGAGTCTGCAGTATCTGAAGTGTCCACTAGAGAGCTGTCCTGTGAGTAGTCTTCTGCAATATCAGTCCGGTAACTGTTCTGCATGTCTGTGACTGTGACATCAACATGTGCACGGTCAGATTCCTGAGGATGGAGGCTATCCTTCAGGGGAGATGGGCTTCTAGATACCCTGAGGTGCAAGATGTCTTTAATTGTCCATTTTTCCATTTCATCCCAGAAAGCAGAGATGGCATACACTGGGCGAGTGGGGTCTGATGCATTATAAGATGTTTCAGGGGTTTCTGTTGGTGTCACTGTTACTTCGGGAAGAGGAGGAGGAAGAGGAAGAGGAGGTGTAGGTTGATCTTCTGAAGTGTTTGTCTGTGGTAAATGTTCCCAGTCTGTAAGTGGCTCACCAACTCTGTGTGCTGGTGCCTCATTAGTCATGTGGGAGTTAGGGCTGTTGTTTGAATCAGCTGGCACTGAGCTTTCGTCAGACATTATGGGGTTACTGTTACTGCGACCAGTGGACGGACATGTTCTGACAGAGTCGATGTAAGCCTGGTCAGCTGTGTTTTCATAACCTTCACGTTGTGGCAGCACGGGGCAATTTAGACAGTCTTCCTCAATTAGTGGCTGTGAATTAGCAGTGTCGATTTGTAGGGGCAGAGACGCAGAGAGAGTGGAATCTATCTTACTGGAAGGTGTGTTAGTATCCTCCATTTCTGTGGCTGAGACATACTCCTCTTCAGAATCATAGCTGGTGCTGGTGGTGTAAAAGAATTCCACTTCCTCATTCGAGTCCACAGACTCAGAGCGGTGAAGTTGTGGTGCATCTTCGTCTGTCTGCGCAAATAATAGGTCTTGTAGTTTGGATAATGGATGGTCTACTGACCTTTTTAAGCCAATGGCAGAGCTGTAATTTTCCTGTTTGTTTTCTTCAATAGATGACTCTGGGTTGAGCGTCTCAGTAGAGTCATCCCTCTGAAGGGGCAACTCTGTAGAAACATTCACTTCTTCACTGAATGATGATGAAGAGCTTAACTCTGAAAAGAGAGGGGGTAACTCTGAATAGCTTACATTTATTTTGGGAAACTCTATATAGACTTCTCTATGATAATTATTTGGCAACGTGTGAGTGTTTGGCAGTGGTTTTGACTTATTGCATGACTGTGTAATAATCTCATTCATGGTCTCCTGTCCGTTAGATTCCTCCATTCCGTCTATATCTATCTCTGACTCACTCTCAGGGGGAGGGTCTGGCCCCTCTGAGGTGTGGTGGCCCCGGGGGACTGAATTCCTACAAGTTTTTTTTTTTTTTTTTTTTATCGCAGTGGCAGCATGCACTCTGTGTGGCGCTGGACTTCCGTTCACGGTCACAAACCAGCGCTCTTTTTCTTCCCTTGGCGCCACTCTGGCATCTCTCTCGCATAATATAGCTGTTTCTGTGTGGCACAACAGCTGCTCCTGGCTGATATTTTGTCCTAGGTACAGGTCTTGGGGTGGCAGTGGCACAGGCTGTGGGGGTTGGGGTGTTAAGATGTCATGTAATGTACCAGTGCCACCTTCGCTTGGCAGCTCTCCGTCGAATCCTTTGATATCTGAGACATCACAAGCTCCAGAGAGGTCACTGTTAGCTATGCATGTGTTGCTAGAAGATTCTGGAACTGAGCCCAGATCATTTGGTACGTCCTGGTTCCTCGAGGTCTCCTCTGTGATCTGCTCAGCAGTCTCTCCTGGGGTTTCTTCTGCCAACTCTGTGGTGAGGCTGTTTTCTTCAAAGTAGCCAGATTCTCTGTTTTCTCCATAGTAGCCAGAATCTGATTCTTTCTGTGCATGGGGGGAGTTGTCAAAGACCCTGTCCAAGAGAGCACCACCCTCTTCCTCAGTTAATCTCAATGGATCATTTAGTTGTGTTTCTTCAGAGCCACTCTCACCAACCTTTACAGGCAGGTCTGTACAGATGAAATCCTCTCTGAGGGTAGCCTCTTCCTCAACACTGGGCTGAGATGGGATGGCAGTGTTTGGAGCTGCATTCTGCTGCCGGGGGTCATCTTGGACATTGTCTAGGGCCGGACACACTGGACATCCAGAATCCTCTGGTTCCTCATCACTGAGGCCCAAGTCGTCTGAACCTGCGAGCTCAGGCGGTGGTAGGGAGCATTCCTCACTCTCCTTATAGAAGCTGTCCCAGTCACGCTCCGCTATGTGCACACTATGGTCTATGTCATCCATGGCAACCTTCACAGGCTCCTGCATCTTTAAACAACACAACATTTAAGAACGTCAGTTAAAATGTCAACGTTAAAAGGTTATAGAATGCTTTACATACAGTGCATTCGGAAAGTATTCAGACCCCTTGACATTTTCCACATTTTGTTACATTACAGCCTTATTCTAAAATGGATAACAATAATAATAATCCTCATCAATCTACACACAATACCCCATAATTGCAAAGTGGAAACAGGTTTTTAGAAATGTAAAACAGAAATACCTTATTTACATAAGTATTCAGACCCTTTGCTATGAGACTTGAAATTGAGCTCACGTGCATCCTGAGATGTTTCTACAACTTCATTGGAGTCCAACTGTGGTAAATTCAATTGATTGGACATGATTTGGAAAGGCACACACCTGTCTATATATGGTCCCACAGTTGACAGTGCATGTCAGAGCAAAAACCAAGCCATGAGGTCGAAGGAATTGTCAGTAGCTCCAAGACAGGATTGTTTCGAGGCACAGATCTAGAGAAGGGTACCAAAACATTTCCGCAGCATTGAAGGTCCCCAAGAACACAGTGGCCTCCATCATTCTTAAGTAAAAGGCACATGACAGCCTGCTTGGAGTTTGCTAAAAGGCACCTAAAGACGCTCAGACCATGAGAAACAAGATTCTCTGGTCTGATGAAACCAAGATTGAACTCTTTGGCCTGAATGCCAAGCGTCACGTCTGGAGGAAACCTGGCACCATCCCTACAGTGAAGCATGGTGGTGGCAGCATCATGCTGTGGGGATGTTCTTCAGCGGCAGGGACTGGGAGACCAGTCAGGATCGAGGGAAAGATGTAAGGAGCAAAGTACAGAGAGATTCTTGATGAAAACCTGCTCAGGACCTCAGATTGGGGCGAAGGTTCACCTTCCAACAGGACAACGACCCTAAGCACACAGCCAAGACAACGCAGGAGTGGCTTCGGGAAAAGTCTCTGAATGTCCTTGAGTGGCCCAGCCAGAGCCCGGACTTGAACCCGATTGAACATCTCTGGAGAGATCTGAAAATATCTGTGCAGCGATGTTCCCCATCCAACCTGACAGAGCTTGAGAGGATCTGCAGAGAAGAATGGGAGAAACTCCCCAAATACAGGTGTGCTAAGCTTGTAGCGTCATACCCAAGAAGACTTGAGGCTGTAATTGCTGCCAAAGGTGCTTCAACAAAGTACTGAGTAAAGGGTCTATATACTTATGTAAATGTGATATTTCTGGTTTTTATTTGCAAAAATGTCTAAAAACCTGTTTTTGCTGTGTCATTATTGGGTATTTTGTGTAGATTGATGTGGGAGAAAAAACAACAATTTAATCAATTTTAGAATAAGGCTGTAACGTAACAAAATGTGGAAAAAGTCAAGGGGTCTGAATACTTTCCGAATGCACTGTATTCTTACTTGGGGGGAGAAGTGTGTAAAACAAATTTAAAGTAACCTAAGGCACATGTTGTTTATGCATCTTTTACTAATTATAATTACAGATATTCTATCTGAAGATATATCTGAATACTTTAAGGAAACGTTATATAAAATATTACTTTTGAAATAGTTTTTTTCTGCGGTGTCTGCAAAAAGTTGTATTTATTTTTGTTTGTTTTTTATGAAGTTGTTCCATACATCAAGCACAATGCCGTACAGAATATTTCGAAAATGATGTTTGTAAACGGTGTCTTCATGCCATTTCAGACTTAGAACTAGTGTTTGATTTGTCTTGGGGTGTTGTTGTGATGACCTCACTGCTCTCCTCTCGTTCAACATGAAAGCTGACTCTAGTTCAAGCAGTACGTTGTTGAAATCCACAAACGGTAGATCAGTTAATGTAAAAATGTTATGGGGTAATATGCGTCACAGGAACATGGCAGTTGCAGTTCCATAACAGACCCCCAAAATACTCCATGGCACTACTCCTGGAAAACTGGTCATGTGATCAGAGTTAGGCAACCACACTACTGTAACCTTCCACCTACAATATCACAACATACTATGCATACTATAAACATCTCAAGGTTAAAATTCTATTAGTATGTGCAATCTATGTTCAGCATACTGTAACTCACCTCATCACTCTGCATAAGCTTTGACATACAGTCCATACCCATATAAATCCTAAAGTTGTCCAAAATAAATAAATAAATGTTAATGTATCTTTTGTTTTCACATACACAAATATCTAAGATTCATATGCATTAAAATCCACTTAACGTAAAGAGCTTTAACCTGTCCAACTCTTCAAAGTAAACAAGTTCAGATACCATTCATCTTATGCTGTGTTATGTTTTGAGAGACAGCTTTTTGCAATGAAACTAAGTCATAAATGTGCTAAAATGCACTGCAAAGTGCACTGTGAGGCCTTGTAGGCTAGTGTTAGCTTTTGTCATAAGCACAACACGGATCCATAAGTAGTCCCACACCTCTAGCATTCAGTAGAAGGATGGGAACTGTATTGTAGGCTACAGTATGTGTGGTGTAGGTGTTCCATGCTGATATGTTTAGTGTCTGTTCAGTAAGAACGGCCTCATACCTGTGGGATGAGTATAAAGTCTCCAGGTTCAGCTTTTCCTGCAGCAGTGACATGCTGTGTGTGTGTCCTCCTGCGTCCCCCTGTCCTTGCCTGTGGTGTGGCAGAGTCAGAGTGGGGCCTAGCCATTCACCACATTATAAATAGACCTGTAACATTTCAGTGCCTTAAATAGAAGCCCTCTGAAGTGGAAGAGGTAGGATAGGCTCAATTGTATAATTACCTATTACCTTACACAACAACAATGGTGAGGATATTATATCTAAACAGAGGCAGTGATAAAGAGAGGATCAGTGAGTGTGTAGACAAGTTAATATGTTACATCTGTATTGAGAGTTAGTGTCTTCATGAACGAATTACATAGATTTTTGGTAGCATGAGGTGATACACTGCACAAATAGACCAGTTGATAACATAGTGCTCTCAATAAAGTTGCTTAAATTGATGAACATGTGTGCACAGACAGACACAACAAGTTTATGTATGTATGCACAGACAAGAGAGAAGAAATAGAGGTGTACAGGTCTTTACATAAGGAGGTACAGTACAATAATAGAGCTGTAAGTCAGCTGATTGAAAGTAATAACATGTGTAAGTGTGACTGCGAGACAAGAGAAACACGTGCATGCGGATTAGGCGTGCTCGTAATGATGACCACTCAAGGACATGAAAATACCAAGATGCCATTGTCTTTTCCAAAGAACCCACAAACCAAACACTAGGGGCTCTATTCAAAATGCATCGCGGAAGTTCAGCCTTACAGCGTGATTTAAATTTAAAGGCAATGTTCCCGCTTTAGCGGAGACTGCATTCACGGTAAATACTGCATATGTCGGCTCAATTGGAAATGACCTTTACATTTCTATCTCGGAATAGAGACCTAGGTATCCTACAAAAAACTGTATGATTTGCTAAAAACTAAACTTTTATAATTTGGTACATGATTTAATCTAAAAATATCTCACATCATATAAAACAATCTATCATATAAAACAATGTATCCTCAAAGAACCTATTAATTTGAATTTGAAAAAATGTATGTTAGCTAGCTAGCCAGCCAGTTTTAGAGGAATGATTTCATAAATGTTTTAAATTAACTGCCAATATGCCAACATTTATACAGAAAATATGTATAAAAACCGTATAAACTGTATTTATAATTATATGACAATATTTTAGGTTGACAAAAATTATATTACACAATTTCTGATATCACATGCCTTACTTTAATTTAAGTAAAATCGTGATTACTGGCATTCATTCCAATTAGACTTGTTTGGATTTCTCCCTGACCAATATGGCTGCCATTTACCAACCATTCTGGAACTTGAAGGTTTATGACATACATTGAGCTCCAAAAGTATTGGGACAGTGACACATTTTTTGTTGTTTTGGCTCTGTACTCCAGCACTTTGGATTTGAAATGATACAATGACTATGAAGTGCAGACTGTCAGCTTTAATTTGAGGGTATTTTCTTCCATATCGGGTGAACCGTTTAGAAATTACAGCACTTTTTGTACATAGTCCCCCATCAAGTTTGTGACTCTACAAATTGGTTGGATGCATTTGCAGTTTGTTTTGGTTTTGTTTCAGATTATTTTGTGCCCCATAGAAATGAATGGTAAAAAGTTAATGTGGATGGGGTATGATATTTGTGCGTCTGTAACTTTCTCACTCATTATTATTCAGGATTAATTCAGGATTATCATTAATCATGGTAGCATCCACATGAATGTAGAAGTGTTTAGAAACATGATATTCTTATTTATAATAAAAGTGACTCCAAAATGACACAACGCATTATTTACCATTAATTTCTATTGGGCACAAAATAATCTGAAACAAAACCAAAACAAACTGCAAATGCATCCAACCAATTTGTAGAGTCACAAGCTTGATGTAGTCATTGCATGCTATGAATATGGGACCAAATACTTAACTTTTTACTACTTTAATACACATATAAGTGAATTTGTCCCAATACTTTTGGTCCCCTAAAATGGGGGGACTATGTACAAAAAGTGCTGTAATTTCTAACTGTTTACCCGATATGGATGAAAATACCCTCAAATTAAAGCTGACAGACTGCACTTTAACCTCAGTCATTGTGTCATTTCAAATCCAAAATGCTGGAGTACAGAGCCAAAACAACAAAAAATGTGTCACTGTCCCAATACTTTTGGAGCTCACTGTAGCCCATTTAGTAATGTAATAGGATCTCTATGGCCCATTTGAAGTCCTTTAGTAGCCAGGATAGCTAGCTTGTCTTTCAGTCTCATCCTTCACAGTCCTGCTGTGCCAGTCAGAGTCACCTGCGATAATAAGGTGCCCCAGGCCTTTGCTGCACATGAGGTCTCCCCTACTTCTCTCACTGTGGCAGCTGAGTGATGGTGGAAGATGTAGAGGGAGTGGAGGTCTGCCCCACAGTGGCTGGAGCCTTGCTTTTCAAACAGCGAACCGATCCCGTACTAAAGACACACTGCAGCGGCCACGTGATGACACACACCAGCATGACCAGCAGCACCACGAACAGCACCAGCCGCTTCCAGTCTGAGAATAAGCTACAGAGGCATTGTCTGCCCCAGACATATCTCCCTTGTTCAGCCTCAGTCTGTCTGGGCACAGCCTCCTCCTGGATTCTCCCAATGTCGATACAGATACAGGTGGAGGAGCCGTCGGGGTGGAGGGGGTCAAGGCTGCCAAGGCTGGAGTAACACAGCTTCTTCCCCTCCAGCCACACCCTCTCCTCCTGCTGCAGGTGGGTGGGGAGCCTGCCCAGAACCTCCAGGCTTGTGAGGAGGGCAGGGGGACCGCTGGCGGGGATGGAGGTGGGGTGCCTGCAGAGGGGGCAGGGGATCTGGCCCCCATCCTGTTCCACAGACACAGCCATGACCCGGGTGACACACTCCAGGCAGAAGGTGTGGGTGCAGTCCAGCAGCTTGGGCGTCTTGAAGACATTGTCATAGGTGTTGAAACAGATGGAGCACTCTGGCTTGTCCCCGCCGGAGGAAGGGTCCGTCTCCTCCTCGTCCTCCTCGGGCACTGGGTCCGGGGCCTGTGTGTGCCAGACCTTGGTGGCCTCCATGGTTTACTCTCCCTCTGGTTTACTGTTATGCACCTACAGAAAAAGATGCCCAAGGTGACTGTTTGAAAACATTTAGGTTGGTGCTATGTTTTGTTTGCACACCCTGAAGATAAAGAAGGGATAGTCTTAGGTCTGATTAGCCTGTGTCAATTTGACAAACGGTTTTGGCACATTGATTCCTTGAGGCCAGTACAATACCAAAGAAAACATCTCTCGCTCTTCAAATATTATAAAGTGCATAGAAATACACATTATAGATTAGACTGTTTGTTCACTTTCTTCATGTCTTGCTTCTCTTATATTTTACTGAACATGTTTTCAATGGATTCTTTTCATTGGTGCAACTATGCCAACCAACCCTTAAACATTACTGTCTGTTTGGTCGTATTTTAAACATTTACGTTATACTACATTACACATTTCCATTGTCTTGTGTATTCTGTCTGTCCTTGCTATAGTCTGTCTTAACCTGTTTGGATAGACATGATGTGTTATGTTGACCATGTAAAGGAGACATCAGGGGAAATGGAAACAAAGGAAAGTGTTACAGAAATCCAGAATCTCAATTTCCTTATTGATCTGGCTGGGTCCTTGAGTGCAACCAACAGGTGAGTGAGGTCTTTGTTAACAGCCCAGAGGGAAGGTGACAAGCGTCATTTCATGTCCAGCAGATAAATCATTAACTTTACATTCTACTTCCTTACTCTCCCTTCCTGTTATATATGGAGCTACATGGAAAGGCGAACACATCCTTATAAAATATTTACGATTATTGCCAACAGTTTTACCAGTGACAGTCAGGTATCAATTTACAGTATAGAGATGTTTTAACTTGGTAGCAGCTTTAGAATAATATGTTAACATGCATTACCATATTAGGAGAAAGCTTCCTTTATGACTTGTTGCCAATGACATCTCACAACAACAAACAAAGACATAAGCAGGATAGAAACAACGTGTTATCATTACCATTCATTTCAAAAGAGTAGTATAGTCCTTACCTGCGGGGAGTGGTATTAGTAGTAGTATTGATTCAATGTCTGTTGTATTTCCAGAGGAGCTGCTCTTTTGTCCATGGGGCAGTATTTGGCCAACTGATAGAGCATCAACAGCTATGACCTTTCTCTTGTCTTTGTGATCCTTCAGGTAATATCTCAGTCACTCCCTCTCTGTGTCCCTTGCTCTGCCCTCTGTGAACTAACAGTCCAGTCTCACCTCCATCTGCAGTGCTCACAGGCTTGTCTGGAGAGCAGAAAGGAGGTGGAGGGAATGGAAAACAACGCACTTACTCACTCCTTCTCTCACACACACACAAACATCTTGCCATATAACAGTGCCAAAAGATTGGATAAAAGTTTGTTTGATAAACCTTTACCAGGGAGTGAGTCTTACTGTAAAAATAAAGACCTCTTCCTGGTATGACAAACTGTAGTATGGGTGTGAATGGAAACATAATGGATGTCATATAGGATTACTCATTCATGCAAACACATATATCGGCTTGTATTTGACCATTAGGCTGTATGTTTGAGAGCCGTATTTGAATACATCAGTATACCCAGGGATGTGAACCATAACAGACCATTTCTTACTACTCCACCAGACATCAAAGTCAGAAAATCAAAACACTATTTAAACAACCATGTGTTTAAACACATTTTATTGCTCTTTATATCCAATGCCCATAAACATTTTGAGAAATAGGTCAAAATCTATATAAAAGTCACTACGTCATATAAGGTGTTGTGACTTGGGTAGTGATACAGTTCAATGCAACCAAGGCAGAGCTACATCCAGTAAATAACTGACTTATTGCCACAATAAAGCTTATCTAAACTTCTATGGTGATTATTTTCCAAGCAGCTAGAGAACTATATTCAACTACAATTTCCTCATCATGCAAGTAGTACACTTTACACAGCTGTGTCTCATTATTCTGTCCCAAACAATAAGGATTAGTCTAACTTTACTCAGAATGAATTATTCAGGATTAACAGAATCTATTGTTGAGTTAATAATTTGAATTTATCCTCAGGGAAGGCGCTCCAATGATGGTATTAACATAGATTTTTTGTTGTTGTAGTTATACTGTAGTAATCCAGAGCTCATAAACTGGTCACTACCAATCAATGTGACAGTGGATTTGGAGAGGTCATGCAGCACCCCCTACTGCGGCTTGCATTTGGATACTACCAGCAGTTCTGCTTTTCTTATTAAAACACACTGCAGCTGCAAATATAATCCTCTTCTCTTTCCAGGTACTCAGCCTTCACAGAGGTTATAGGGAAAAGAGTATGCTATGGCAACCAGTTTATTCCAATTTTAAAACACATCCTATTGTAAAATCCTACTATTTACCAACAGTAATATAAAGTATATATACAATTATAAATTAGTTAATCATACAAAGGATTATGAGAAAGGTGCTTTATTTTTGTAAACCATACATACTCTTCAGAATCAGAAAATACTTCATAAAGTAAAACTAGAATCAATAAGTACAAAATACCACATTACAAAAAACAATACATAATTTGTATAAAAACTATGTACACGTGTACAATTTTACAAATGGCTGTACAACAGCTAATGTAAGAAGGATAAATACTCTATTTGGGATTAAAATAATTTTACAATCAGTTGTTCCTGTTTTGTTGGAAATACCATCGCTTCAGACTCATGCCTACTGAACACACAAACTGGAACGACCAGTCACACTAGTCCTCAAACGTCTTCATACCACAGTTCTTCCAGTATAAATAACTAAAAATGAAACTTAAAACGAACTTGTCCCTAAATTCACCATATCATCACTCAATCACCCTTGAAGTTTAGCAAGCAAAACCCGTTGTACCGTTCCTCCAGCAAGAAAACAAAACAAATACTCACCCTTAATACAAGGTGTTGCTAAAAGGCCACAGGAGATCACTCAAATACCCAATAATAAACCAAAGACAACATATCGCCTGTCTTTAAATGATCACCACCCGTTTCCTGGACAAATCTTTGAGCACACATCACATCAATGGTACACTAACGACTTCAGTTTAGTGCACATTCTTTTGGTAAGACAAGCATCACAACATATTTGGCAACAGTGACAACAGTTGTTACTCTTATCCAACAAATGTCAAAATGTATGCTTGAAATCAAAAAGGAATTCAAGTAATAACTTATGTGCAGTGGTTCTGATAAGATTAGGCAAGGTGTCAGCATGAATTTCCCGCATTATGGCCAGATAAAGCATATTTCATATTAGCTAGCACCCCTTTTCAGGTCCTATTACCGGTGTTGGGGTGAATATTATAAAGATTTTTATTGAGAAGCATTTTTCATCCAACTCTTAGATGACCATTTTCCTACTTGATACAAAAAGAACATTTTCTGAGGATCCATCTTTCCATGTTTTTGGGATGAATTAAATAAGACATAAGATATATTTCACAGCCAGTGGATCACATGGTAATGTTCTTGGTGTGTGTTGCTCTGGAAGAACCACACCTTTAATGGAACGTGAGGAGAACTCTTAAAGAGCTTTAAGTATTTTTACATTATGTTCTCATTTTGTAGTGTTTGTATATGTGCATGTATTAATCAATTAAATCATTATAATACATTCAGTTTGGTTCAGTGCTTAAACCACATAGAGAAACAAAACAAAAGTATGCAATTTAAAACTCCTATGAGAAGATTCACTAAATGAGAACAATGAAAGTATTTAAATCAGCTTGGAAATTATCAACCTCAAATTCAGGGCTATCACTAAAGATCCCCAGTCCACCTCTTTCCATTCTCTACAGAGCTAAAGTAAAACAAACAATTGGCCCAATTCTATACAGGAATAGAATAAAATCCAAATAGAAAATACATAGATTAAAAATAAATAATCAAAGGTCTATTTACATTACAAAACAGAATTCTGGTAATAAGGCTATACTGCAGGTATTGCAGAGTTTAAAAAGCTGGCACCACCTGCTTTTGAATTAATGAAACTGTCCTCTTAGGCAACACTACAGAGGAGGGACAGGCCTACACACGCTCACCAACTTACTGTTAGTGCTCTGGCCTGATCCTGTCCCTCTCATTTGGCACCTGCTAACAGGCTGGCTCAGGCCTCCTCTCTTGGGCCTCCTCCTTCCCTACACATTGTAGACTGTGGTGGTGGCAGTGGGGATGGTGGCAGCGCTGGACGCTGAGTGTGCTGAGGTCCGCTCCCTCCTCACATATCTGGGTTTCCTAACTTCAGATTACACAACACAATGGAGAGAGAGGAGGATGATAAACCCAATATGATACGGTTTGACCTCGATGTTGACATTTCCCGCACACAGCAGGTAGTTCAAACTCTGACTAAGATTGTGCCAGGATAAAGGAGTGACATCATGTAAAACATTAGAAAATAATGATATTACGCAATTGCCAGACACAGTGAAACGATTACCAAAAACCCTATCAGAGGTTGTGAAGTGTTTTAGTGAAATGTCCTTACCTGAAGATGTCGCCGATGGTATCATGACAGCCTTGAGAGAGATAATTCATGAGTCATATTTCTTGTTATTCATTTTCGGTACTGCATATCAAATCATTCTAATGTATTGTTTATACGATGTGGTGATACATACAAATGTACATTTTTAAAAATGACTTACCGTCTCATTTGGTTGGAATATGTAGGCTGTGAAAGTACACCAGACGTATTAGTTACCTTTTCCATATTTCGAGCGCACCATAGAATGATTGTCTAGTTTACAGTTATTCAAATTCAACCCATTATCGGAACGACTTACCCTTATTCCGCCGGTAGAAGATACCTGGGAGACGGTTGGAGCGTTTGAGGTAGAAGAAGGAGGCAACAGAGAGAATCAGGAACAGGCTTATCAACAGGGTTCCAAACAGAAGAGAGGCTGCCACACCCGGACCACCTGTTCACACAGACAGACAATTGTTAAATAAACCTCATCACTCCTAGTAATCACACTAAGCATTTTCACAAACAGCTGAGTTGTTTGTTCTCACTAAACAGACAGCTCATCTAGTCTAGCACCATACTGTATTAGGGATTCATTGGGCAAGTCAGGAGTATTTTTTGGTTGCCTGAAGATTATGATCACTTGCCCGAAATGTTTTTTTTAAACTAGAGTGGCTTGCGAAAGTATTCACCCCCCTTGGCATTTTTCCTATTTTGTTACCTTACAACCTGGAATTAAAAATGGATTTTTGGGGGGTTTGTATCATTTGATTTACACAACATGCCTACCCCTTTGAAGATGCAAAATATATTTTCTTGTGAAACTAACAAGAAATAAGACAAAAAAACAGAAGACTTGAGCGTATATAACTATTCACCCCCCCCAAAGTCAATACTTTGTAGAGCCACCTTTTGAAGCAATTACAGCTACAAGTCTCTTGGTGTATGTCTCTATAAGCTTGGCACATCTAGCCACTGGGATTTTTGCCCATTCAAGGCAAAACTACTCCAGCTCCTTCAAGTTGGATGGGTTCCGCTGGTGTACAGCAATCTTTAAGTCATACCACAGATTTTCAATTGGATTGAGGTCTGGGCTTTGACTAGGCCATTCCAATACATTTAAATGTTTCCCCTTAAACCACTTGAGTGTTGCTTTAGCAGTATGCTTAGGGTCATTGTCCTGCTGGAAGGTGAACCTCTGTCCCAGTCTCAAATCTCTGGAAGACTAAAACAGGTTTCCCTCAAGGATTTCCCTGTATTTAGCGCCATCCATCATTCCTTCAATTCTGACCAGTTTCCCAGTCCATGCCGATGAAAAACATCCCCACAGCATGATGCTGCCACCACCATGCTTCACTGTGGAGATGGTGTTCTCGGGGTGATGAGAGGTGTTGGGTTTGCGCCAGACATAGCGTTTTACTTGATGGCCAAAAAGCTCAATTTTTGTCTCATCTGACCAGAGTACCTTCTTCCATATGTTTGGAGAGTCTCCCACATGCCTTTTGGCGAACACCAAACTTGTTTGCTTATTTTTGTTCTTTAAGCAATGGCTTTTTTCTGGCCACTCTTCCGTAAAGCCCAGCTCTGTGGAGTGTACGGCTTAAAGTGGTCCTATAGACAGATACTCCAATCTCCGCTGTGGAGCTTTGCAGCTCCTTCAGGGTTATCTTTGATCTCATTGTTGCCTCTGATTAATGCCCTCCTTGCCTGGTCCGTGAGTTTTGGTGGACGGCCCTCTCTTGGCAGGTTTGTTGTGGTGCCATATTCTTTCCACGTTTTAATAATGGATTTAATGGTGCTCCGAGGGATGTTCAAAGTTTCTGATATTTTTTTATAACCCAACCCTGATCTGTACTTCTCCATAACTTTGTCCCTGACCTGTTTGGAGAGCTCCTTGGTCTTCATGGTGCCGCTTGCTTAGTGGTGTTGCAGACTCTGGGGCCTTTCAGAACAGGTGTACAGTTGAAGTCAGAAGTTTATATACACCTTAGCCAAATACATTTAAACTCAGTCTTTCACAATTCCTGACATTTAATCCTAGTAAAAATTCCCTGTCTTAGGTCAGTTAGGATCACCACTTTATTTTAAGAATGTGAAATGTCAGAATAATGGTAGAGAGAATGATTTATTTCAGTTTTTATTTATTTCATCACATTCCCAGTGGGTCAGAAGTTTACACACACTCAATTAGTATGTGGTAGCATTGCCTTTAAATTGTTTAACTTGGGTCAAACGTTTCGGGTAGCCTTCCACAAGCTTCCCACAATAAGTTGGGTGGATTTTGGCCCATTCCTCCTGACAGAGCTGGTGTAACTGAGTCAGGTTTGTAGGCCTCCTTGCTCGCACACGCCTTTTCAGTTCTGCCCACACATTTTCTATAGGATTGAGGTCAGGGCTTTGTGATGGCCACTCCAATACCTTAACTTTGTTGTCCTTAAGCGATTTTGCCACAACTTTGGAAGTATGCTTGGGGTCATTGTCCATTTGGAAGACCCATTTGTGACCAAGCTTTAACTTCCTGACTGTCTTGAGATGTTGCTTCAATATATCCACATAATTTCCCTTCCTCATGATGCCATCTATTTTGTGAAGTGCACTAGTCCCTCCTGCAGCAAAGCACCCCCACAGCATGATGCTGCCACCCCTGTGCTTCACGGTTGGGATGGTGTTCTTCAGGGTTGTAAGCTGCCCCCTTTTTCCTCCAAACATAACGATGGTCATTATGGCCAAACAGTTCTATTTTTGTTTCATCAGACCAGAGGACATTTCTCCAAAAAGTACGATCTTTGTCCCCATGTGCAGTTGCAAAGCGTAGTCTGGCTTTTTTATGGCGGTTTTGGAGCAGTGGCTTCTTCCTTGCTGAGCGGCCTTTCAGGTTGTGTCGATATAGGACTCGTTTTACTGTGGATATAGATACTTTTGTACCTGTTTCCTTCAGCATCTTCACAAGGTCTTTTGCTGTTGTTCTGGGATTGATTTGCACCTTTCGCACCAAAGTATGTTCATCTGTAGGAGACAGAACGCGTCTCCTTCCTGAGCGGTATGACGGCTGCGTGGTCCCATGGTGTTTATACTGCGTACTATTGTTTGTACAGATGAAGGCGGTACCTTCAGGCGTTTGGAAATTGCTCCCAAGGATGAACCAGACTTGTGGAGGTCTTGACTGATTTCTTTTGATTTTCCTATGATGTCAAGCAAAGAGACACTGAGTTTGAAGGTAGGCCTTGAAATACATCCACAGGTACACCTCCAATTGACTCAAATTATGTCAATTAGCCTATCAGAAGCTTCTAAAGCCATGACATCATTTTCTGGAATTTTCCAAGCTGTTTAAAGGCACAGTCAACTTAGTGTATGTAAACTTCTGAACCACTGGAATTGTGATACAGTGATTTATAAGTGAAATAATCCGTCTGTAAACAATTGTTGGAAAAATTACTTGTGTCATGCACAAAGTAGAGGTCCTAACCGACTTGCCAAAACTATAGTTTGTTAACAAGAAATTTGTGGAGTGGTTGAAAAATGAGTTTTAATGACTCTAACCTAAGTGTATGTAAACTTCCGACTTCAACTGTATATATACCGAGATCATGTGACAGCTCATGTGACACTTAGATTGCACACAGGTGGACTTTATTTAACTAATTATGTGACTTCTGAAGGTAATTGGTTGCACCAGATCTTATTTAGGGGCTTCATAGCAAAGGGGGTGAATACATATGCACGCACCACTTTTCCGTTATTAATCTTTTTGAATTTTTTGAAACAAGTTATTATTTTTTATTTCACTTCACCAATTTGGACTATTTTGTGTATGTCCATTACATGAAATCCAAATAAAAATCAATTTAAATTACAGGTTGTAATGCAACAAAATAGGAAAAACGCCAAGGGGGATGAATACTTTTGCAAGGCACTGTATTTACATACAGAAGTGCCATATATTGCCTGCCTTTCACCTACACTTAGTGGAGGAATCAGAATGATCAGTACTGGAATTCTTTGTATTCTGGTTGTTATCAATAAAAAACATTTCAAACAGGCTCAATTTGCCCGACTGCCATTAATTGTCTGTCTTTCACTTAAACAATGGGGAGGAACGAGAAATATCTGTTTTAGGCTATTGGAATTCTTTGCAGTTTGGCTGTCTTCACTTTTTTTTTAAGTATCACCTGCCCAAAGGGGCAACCTCAGAGTAGGCTCAACTTGCGCGACGGCTCAGGTCACTTGCCCCAGGCATCAGGACAACCCTTAATGTCAATGCCTGCTGTATGTGCTATACCCAAATCATATGGCATGACAACAATAGAAGAGTTGGCTACAGCCCCATACAGTTTTTGACAGTTCAACACAGGTAACTGCCAAAATAAAGGAAACACTTGAGTAAATGAGTGATTCAAAGTACACTGCTCAAAAAAATAAAGGGAACACTTAAACAACACATCCTAGATCTGAATGAATGAAATAATCTTATTAAATACTTTTTTCTTTACATAGTTGAATGTGCTGACAACAAAATCACACAAAAATTATCAATGGAAATCAAATTTATCAACCCATGGAGGTCTGGATTTGGAGTCACCCTCAAAATTAAAGTGGAAAACCACACTACAGGCTGATCCAACTTTGATGTAATGTCCTTAAAACAAGTCAAAATGAGGCTCAGTAGTGTGTGTGGCCTCCACGTGCCTGTATGACCTCCCTACAACGCCTGGGCATGCTCCTGATGAGGTGGCGGATGGTCTCCTGAGGGATCTCCTCCCAGACCTGGACTAAAGCATCCGCCAACTCCTGGACAGTCTGTGGTGCAACGTGGTGTTGGTGGATGGAGCGAGACATGATGTCCCAGATGTGCTCAATTGGATTCAGGTCTGGGAAACGGGCGGACCAGTCCATAGCATCAATGCCTTCCTCTTGCAGGAACTGCTGACACACTCCAGCCACATGAGGTCTAGCATTGTCTTGCATTAGGAGGAACCCAGGGCCAACCGCACCAGCATATGGTCTCACAAGAGGTCTGAGGATCTCATCTCGGTACCTAATGGCAGTCAGGCTACCTCTGGCGAGCACATGGAGGGCTGTGCGGCCCCCCAAAGAAATGCCACCCCACACCATGACTGACCCACCGCCAAACCGGTCATGCTGGAGGATGTTGCAGGCAGCAGAACGTTCTCCACGGCGCCGCCAGACTCTGTCACGTCTGTCACATGTGCTCAGTGTGAACCTGCTTTCATCTGTGAAGAGCACAGGGCGCCAGTGGCGAATTTGCCAATCTTGGTGTTCTCTGGCAAATGCCAAACGTCCTGCACGGTGTTGGGCTGTAAGCACAACCCCCACATGTGGACGTCGGGCCCTCATACCACCCTCATGGAGTCTGTTTCTGACCGTTTGAGCAGACACATGCACATTTGTGGCCTGCTGGAGGTCATTTTGCAGGGTTCTGGCAGTGCTCCTCCTGCTCCTCCTTGCACAAAGGCGGAGGTAGCGGTCCTGCTGCTGGGTTGTTGCCCTCCTACGGCCTCCTCCACGTCTCCTGATGTACTGGCCTGTCTCCTGGTAGCGCCTCCATGTTCTGGACACTATGCTGACAGACACAGCAAACCTTCTTGCCACAGCTCGCATTGATGTGCTATCCTTGATGAGCTGCACTACCTGAGCCACTTGTGTGGGTTGTAGACTCCGTCTCATGCTACCACTAGAGTGAAAGCACCGCCAGCATTCAAAAGTGACCAAAACATCAGCCAGGAAGCATAGGAACTGAGAAGTGGTCTGTGGTCACCACCTGCAGAACCACTTCTTTATTGGGGGTGTCTTGCTAATTGCCTATAATTTCCACCTGTTGTCTATTCCATTTGCACAACAGCATGTGAAATGTATTGTCAATCAGTGTTGCTTCCTAAGTGGACAGTTTGATTTCACAGAAGTGTGATTGACTTGGAGTTACATTGTGTTGTTTAAGTGTTCCCTTTATTTTTTTGAGCAGTGTATATTAGAAGCAGGTGCTGCCACACAGGTGTGGTTCCTGAGTTAATTAAGAAATTAGCATCCCATCATGCTTAGGGTCATGTATAAAAAGGCCCAGTTGCCCATTATTTTGGCATGACTAGAAGAAGAGACCTCAGTGACTGTGAAAGAGGGGTCCCAAAGGACCATAGGGGGTTTAAATGGTGTGTGTGTCTCAGTCACCGGATCCCAACCCAATTGAACACTTAAGGGAGATTCTGGAGAAGTGGCTGAGACAGTGTTTTCTACCACCATCAACAAAACACCAAATTATGGAATTTCTTGTGGAAGAATGGTGTCGCATCCCTCCAATAGACACACTTGTAGAATGCCCTATTATGACACTATGTTGGTATTTCCTTTATTTTGGCAGTTACCTGTGAATTAACCAACATTTATGTAAAGAATAACTGGCACCATTTCTTACCAATTGTGGGAATGACTGTAGTTATTGTTGTACGATTGTTCCTGTCTGTGATGTATGCTGTTTAAGGCAAAGAGATGAAAGGAGGAACATGAACAAGGTTAGGACACCTGTGGAAAACCCCCAACTCTCTTCAGTGGCAAGAGTTCTTATTCAATAGCACCTAGCTGTCATGTCCAGTAGTTGTCCACTTACTGTAGTTGCAAGCCGTGAAGTTTTCGAGATCTGCAATAGCCAAGTCACAGTGCATACACACAGCTGTGTTGTTCTCCAGGACACGCAGGTAGCATCCTGAGGAAATAGATTTGATGAATGCTCAAATGTTGGAAGAACAAAAGCCCATGTCTATTTTCTAATCCTAGTACACGTGTCTAAATCCAAAAATAAGACCTCATCTCCTCGTGAAAGAATAATGCAACATCAAGACATTCATTCAATTAATGGCTACTACTACACACTGCTATGAGGAAATCAGTGTTGCAATTATAAAGTTAATGAATAACATTTAACAGAACTGCACTACAGGATGACGTGGTGGTCAGTACCTGGCTCACATTGAGTGCTATTTGAGCACGAGCTGTTCACCCTCTGTCGCTCTCCACAGCAGTCAAAGGGATTCTGATGTAGGGCCTACAAAAACATAAACACACTTTAATCCTTAATGGGAAAGCAGGGTGAAAAAAGCTAAGTATTTTCATCCAACTTAATCCAACAATATCCCCAACCAGTCCCATTCACGACTTGTGTGGGTATGTGTGCTGTGATGTAGCTAGTAGCTACTATCATGCAGTGCATTCGGAAAGTATTCAGACCCCTTGACTTTTTCCACATTTTGTTACGTTACAGCCTTATTCTAAAATTGATTAAATAAAACATTTTCATCAATCTACACACAATACCCATAATGACAAATCGAAAACAGGTTTTCAGACCATTTGCTATGAGACTCCAAATTGAGCTTAGGTCCATCCTGGTTCGATTGATAATCCTTGAGATGTTTCTACAACTTGATTGGAGTCCACCTGTGGTAAATTCAATTGATTGGACATCATTTGGAAAGGCACACACCTGTCTATATAAGGTCCCACAGTTGACAGTGCATGTCAGAGCAAAAACCAAGCCATGAGGTCGAAGGAATTGTCCGTAGAGATCCGCACAGATCTGGGGAAGAGTACCAAAAAATGTCTGCAGCATTGAAGGTCCCCAAGAACACAGTGGCCTCCATCATTCTTAAATGGAAGAAGTTTGGAACCACAAGACTCTTCCTAGAGCTGGCTGCCCGGCTAAACTGAGCAATCGGGGGAGAAGGGCCTTGGTCAGGGAGGTGACCAAGAACCTGATGGTCACTCTCACAGAGCTCCAGAGTTCCTCTGTGGAGATGGGAGAACCTTCCAGAAGGACAACCATCTCTGCAGCACTCCACCAATCAGGCCTTTATGGTAGAGTGGCCAGACGGAAGCCACTCCTCAGTAAAGGGCACATGACAGCCCGCTTGGAGTTTACCAAAAGGCACCTAAAGGACTCTCAGACCATGAGAAACGAGATTCTCTGGTCTGATGAAACCAAGATTGAACTCTTTGGCCTGAATGCCAAGCGTCACGTCTGGAGGAAACCTGGTACCATCCCTACCGTGAAGCATGGTGGTGACAGCATCATGCTGTCAGGATGTTTTTCAGCGGCAGAGACTGGGAGACCAGTCAGGATCGAGGGAAAGATGAATTGATGAAAACCTGCTCCAGAGGGTTCACCTTCCAACAGGACAACGACCCTAAGCACACAGCCAAGACAACGCAGGAGTGGCTTCGGGACAAGTCTCTGAATGTCCTTGAGTTGCCCAGCCAGAGCCCGGACTTGAACCCGATTGAACATCTCTGGAGAGACCTGAAAATAGCTCTGCAGTGACATTCCCCATCCAACCTGAGAGAGCTTGAGAGGATCTGCAGAGAAGAATGGGAGAAACTTCCCAAATACAGCTGTGCCGAGCTTGTAGCTTCATACCCAAGAAGACTCTAGGCTGTAATCACTGCCAAAGGTGCTTCAACAAAGTTCTGAGTAAAGGGTCTGAATACTTATGTAATACTTGATCTTACCTGTTTTTTTCTTTATACATTTGCAACATTTCTAAAAACCTGTTTTTGCTTTGTCATTATGGGGTTTTGTGTGTAGATTGATTGGGGGGGGGAAACAATTAATGCACTGTACATATGTTACTCTACCTTAGTTACTGGAGTTTCATGACTGATAAGGATCAAAGCTGCTGAAAGGACCATGAGGTATGACACAGCCATATTCAGAACAGTCCTAGAAAGACAGAGAAAGGTAGACTGTGTAGACTCTCAGACTATAGTAAAAAAAACAAGGAGAAGATCAGATCTGTAGCTATAGCTGCTTAGCCTGCAGAGATCTGAGAAACGATAGCTCAGAGAATGACTGAGGCAATCTGGCAAGCATTGCAACGATTGATTGCTATGGACGTAAACAGGATATTACAACTGTTTTTTATACCGTATCTTACAGTAGTTACAGCAGGTAGAGTGGGACTGGAAAATTCAGTCTGATGAGATATACTTACTGTGCAGGTGCTAACGCGTTAGCTATGTCATGACCTACAGTCATTGGTCATGACACATGATGTATAACTAGCTAACGTTAGCTAGCTAGCTAGCCGTGCTAAGATTAGCAGACTGAATCAGAGTCCCCCCCCCCCCCCCAAAAAAAAAACGTGCCGTTTTGGAGCAGTTTTTCAAATCCAGCTAGCTAGTCTGATTGTCAGCAATTACGTCGTTATGCGCACTTCTAGCTCGACGAAAGAAGTTAGCTCGTTTTTACTCGATTTCCATTCAAATAAGAACAACACTAACGTAGCTAGCTTAGCTATAATCAGCATGTTAGCTATCACATAGAAAAACAGCTATTTGTTATATTGAAAGTTATCAATAAAGCAAAACCGACCAACCTTTGCAAATCACAACACAAGTTTTCGATCGAACAGATGACAGCCGTTGTACAACTAGCAGCATTTAGCTACAAATAATACTAACTTCCGGCGATTCATCTTTCAAAATAAAAGCTGATCATTGGCCACAAACTAATAAACCTAGCTACTTGTGCTATAAATGCAATTGTAAACGGGGTTGTTCGAGCCCTGAATGCTGATCGGCTGAAAGCCGTGGTATATCAGACCGTATACCATGGGTATGACAAAACATTTATTTATACTGCTCTAATTACGTTGGTAACCAGTTTATAATAGCAATAAGGGACCTCTGGGGTTTGTGATATATGGCCAATATACCACGGCTAAGGGCTGTGTCCTAGCACTCGTGTGTTGCGTCATGCATAAGAACAGCCCTTAGCCGTGGTATATTGGCCATATACCACACCCCCTCTGGCCTTATTGCTTAAAAATGCATTATACATCACTTGTATGTCATAAATACATTACAAATTAGACTTGCAAAAAAAGTATTGCAAAATAGACTTTTAGGTGAATTAGTATTTTGATGAATGGACATTTTGACAGCTAATAAAATGCCCTCAGGTTACTGAAGGCCCTGTCAGCCTCAGCAGACCAGCGGAGCCGGGATGGCCCACCCTTCAACAGAGATGTGATGGGAGCTGCGACCTTGCCAAAGCCCCGGATAAACCTCCGATAGTAGTTGGCAAAGCCAATAAAGCGCTTCACCTCCTTTACCATGGTTGGATTCGGCCAATTACGCACGGCTGAAATGCGATCTCCCTCCATCTCCACACCTGAGGTGGAAATGCGGTATCCGAGGAAGGAGACGGACTGCTGGAAAAACGGACCCTTTTCTGCCTTGGCATAAAGGTCATCTTCCAACAGTCGGACCAGCACTTTGCGAACCAGGGACACATGCTCGGCGTGCGTAGCAGAATACACCAGAATGTCATCGATGTTGACCACTACACCGCGACCATGTCCCGAAACACCTCGTTCACAAAGGACTGGAAAACGGATGGAGCATTCATCAAACCGTACGGCATCACCAGGTATTCGTAATGCCCCGTGGTTGTGCTGAATGCTGTCGTCAACTCGTCCCCCTCTCGGACACGCACCAGGTTGTACGCACTCCGGAGATCAAATTTTGTGAACAAGCGCGCCCCATGCATTGACTCGATCACAGATGGAATGAGGGGTAGAGGATAACTATGACGTATTGTTCCCTTGTTTAGTGCTCGGTAATCAATGCAAGGGCGCAGACCTCCGTCTTTCTTCTTCACAAAAAATAAACTTGAGGAGGCGGGCGAAGTGGAGGGACATATGAACCCCTGGCGCAGGGACTCGGAGACATATGTCTCCATCGCCTCCGATTCAGCCTGCGACAGGGGATACACATGACTCCTGGGAGGCACAGCGTCTACCCGGAGGTTTATCGCGCAAACCGCCGCCCGATGAGGTGGTAATTTGGTCGCCTGCGTTTTGGAAAACGCGTGCGCCAAATCGAGGTATTCGGGGGGAATGCACACGGTGGAGGTAGTGTCTGGACTTTCCACCGTGGTTGCACCAATAGAAACAACTAGACACCTACCCTGACACTCTCGCGACCACCCCGTGAGAACCCTCTGCAGCTATGAAAAGATGGGGTTGTGTAGTGCTAACCAGGGAAGACCTAACACAACAAGGAAATCAGGAGACTCATTAATAAAAAAGGTGACTTGCTCTCTATGGGTCTCGTGCTTAACCATAGTGACTGGTGCTGTAACTTCCCTAACGAACCCGGACCCTAATGGTCGACTGTCCAGTGCTCTGATGGGGAGTGGAATGGATAGGGGAACCAATGTAATACCTAGACTATGTGCTAACGACCTGTCCATAAAGTTCCCAGCTGCGCCTGAATCGACCAGCGCCTTACACTGGGGAACTACGTGTAATCGTAATCAGGGAAGTGGATGTGTAGGGTACAGTGCGCAGCAGAGGGCTCTGAACGAGAGTGGGTGTTCGATACCTGGGTTGACGCAACAGCGCCCTGCCTGCCGCCTCCAGACCCAAAAGTGTGTGTGGGGGGGGGGGGCAGCAGGTTGTCCAACCGGATGGCCACGTCCACCAGTTTGTTGAAGGACAACGTGGTGTCCCAGCAGGCTAGCTCCCTTCGGACGTCCTCTCGCAGGTGGCACCGGAAGTGGTCGATGAGGGCCCGCTCGTTCCACCCGGACCCAGCCGTTAGAGTGCGAAACTCCAGGGCAAAGTCCTGCGCGGTCCTCGTCCCCTGCCTCAGGTGGACCAGCCACTTGCCCGCCTCTCTACCTTCGGGCGGTGATCGAAGATGGCCCGGAAGAGGCGAGTGAACTACCCGTAGTTGTCCAACATGGCTCCTCCTTCACTCCAGACAGTATTGGCCCACTCCAGGGCTTTCCCCGAGAGGCAGGAGACGAGGACGGACACCTCCCGCTCCGATGGAGCCGGGCTGATGGTCGATAGGTATAGATCCAGTTGTAGGAGGAATCCCTGGCAGCGGGCAGCTGTCCCGTCAAAATCCCTTGGTCGGGATATATGAATCCCTCTTGGTGCTTGGTTGTGGGTGGCTGGATCCGGTCGCTCAGCTGGTCCTCTCCTCTCCAGGCGTTGGACGACCTGGAGAACCCGATCCATCGCTTCTCCCAAGCTGGCTAGCATCGTAGAATGCTCCCGGACCCGTGCCACGACTCCAGGCATGTGCTCCTCTCCTGCTGACTCCATGTCTTGGTGTGTGATTCTGTGATGAGTGATTTCGAAGGAGTCAGGCGCAGAAGGGTAAATCACAGAATAACAGGATTTATTCCAAAATACACAGTTACGCAGTAATGCGTCAAAACACAAAACAGGCACACTGGAAACAGTGTTGTGGCAGTATATTCTATAAACATTACTGGTACATTGTGTCATTACATTACCTGGAAACCTAATGAGAACATTTTGGGAATTTTCTGTGGTGGTTGTTACAGATGTTGTTCACAACTTTTAGTTGATGTTAGGAAAACATTACAAGGATATTTCATTTTCTGAAAAAGAAAATGTTAGATAAAACCCTAACTTAATGGGAATCTTAGCTAATGTTCTGGGAATTTTCCCGGTTTGCTGGGTACACATAAAAAACACACCCATTATTAAATAAGTGCATCCTAAATGTGTCAATATTTCTGTATCCATGTTAAATAGGTCTATTCAAAAACAAATAAAATCACTTTCACATTCAAAGTACACTGCACTGCCCTGAAACAACTCCCTGTTGTCATGTTTTGAGAAACTGTTTCTTAGGAGTTTAATGGACAAAGAAAAAATTAAGAAAGACAGACAGATAAGAGACAGACAGACAGACAGACAGACAGACAGACAGACAGACAGACAGCATGCGAATATTAGGCAAAGTAAAATTTACATTTTAGTCATTTAGCAGACGCTCTTATCCAGAGTGACTTACATTTAGTGAGTGCATACATTTTCATACTGGCCCCCCGTGGGAATCGAACCCACAACCCTGGCGTTGCAAGCGCCATGCTCTACCAACTGAGCTACACGGGACTAATAATAATAATAAATAAAATAATAAATAATAAATAATAATAATAAAATGAGAGAGATGGAGCATGGAGGAATATCATGTTTTCCTCAGGTCTACAAGGTTTACATAAGGATATTGTCTATTGTGTGTCAATTATGTGATTATGTCAACCTTGAGTCTATTCAACAGATTTTCAGGTGGTGGAGATCTGGCTGCAATTCTGAACTCCTGCACAAAATGTATGCCTTTACACATTTTCATTTAAGCACTTCTCAGCATTTGGTATTCAGACTTTACACCCCTTGACTTTTTCCAGCCTGAATTTAAAATGGATTCAAATTTGATTTGTTGTCACTGGCCTACATGCAATACCCCATAATGTCAAAGTGGAATTATGTCTTACCCAGAAAGACTCTCAGCTGTAATCACTGACAAAGGTGATTGATTCTAAATGTATTGACTCAGGGGGTTGAATACTTAGCTAATCAAGATATATTAGTGTTTTATTTTTCATTAATGTTTTACAAATGTTAGAATTTTTCTTCCACTTTGACATTACAGAGTATTTTGTGTAGATTTTTTACAAAAAATAACAATTAAATCCATTTAATCCCAATATGTACAGTGCATTCGGAAAGTATTCAGACCCCTTGACCTTTTCCACATTTTGTTATGTTACAGCCTTACTCTAAAATGGATTAAATTGTTTTCCTCCCCCGCAGCAATCTACACACAATACCCGATAATGACTAAGCAAAAAAACAGGTTTTTAGAATTTCTTTTACATTTATAAAATATAAAAAACTGAAATATCACATTTACATAAGTATTCAGACCCTTTACTTAGTACTTTGTTGAAGCACCTTTGGCAGCGATTACAGCCATCGAGTCTTCTTGGGTATGACGCTACAAGCTTGGCACAACTGTATTTGCGGAGTTTCTCCCATTCTTCTCTGCAGATCCTCTCAAGCTCTGTCAGGTTGGATGGGGAGCGTCACTGCACAGCTATTTTCAGGTCTCTCCAGAGATGTTCGATCGGGTTCAAGTCCGGGCTCTGGCTGGACAACTCAAGGACATTCAGAGACTTGTCCCGAAGCCACTGCTGCGTTGTCTTGGCTGTGTGCTTAGGGTTGTTGTCCTGTTGGAAGGTGAACCTTCACACCAGTCTGAGGTTCTGAGTGCTCTGGAGCAGGTTTTCATCAAGGATCTTTCTGTACTTTGCTCCGTTCATCTTTCCCTCAATCCTGACTAGTCACCCAGTCCCTGCCGCTAAAAAAAATCTCCACAGCATGATGCTGTCACCACCATGCTTCACGGTAGGGATGGTGCCAGGTTTCCTCCAGACGTGACACTTGGCATTCAGGCCAAAGAGTTCAATCTTGGTTTCATTAGACCAGAGAATCTTGTTTCTCATGGTCTGAGAGTCCTTTAGGTTTGGCAAACTCCAAGCGGGCTGTCATGTGTGTTTTACTGAGGAGTGGCTTCCGTCTGGCCACTCTACCATAAAGGCCTGATTGG